ACTCTGTAACAAGATTCCCATGATTCCGTTTCAAACATTTCCGTTACATGTACTCTGTAACTAGATTCCCATGATTCCGTTTCAGACATTCCCGTTACATGTACTCTGTAACTAGATTCCCATGATTCCGTTTCAAACATTCCCGTTACATGTACTCTGTAACTAGATTCCCATGATTCCGTTTCAGACATTCCCGTTACATGTACTCTGTAATTAGATTCCCATGATTCCGTTTCAGACATTCCCGTTACATGTACTATGTAACTAGATTCCCATGATTCCGGTTCAGAGATTCCGTTACATGTACTATATAACTAGATTCCCATGATTCCGTTTCAGACATTCCCGTTACATGCACGCTGCGACAAGATTCTAATGAGTGCTGTAACTAGAATGACACGATTCTATTTCAGAAACGTTACTTTAAGTTGTGTTGTTGCTCAATACCCATGATTCTGTTTCAGAAATTTCACATTACATACCTAGTGTTTCTAGCGTGTGATGATGCCGTTTTAGAACTTCGCGCTACATGTATGCTGATACACTGATATGCTAAACCAAGGCAATGTATTAACATTGTGTCAACATTACATGACACCAGCATACCGACATTTAAAAGGCTTTACCAATAAGGACTTTTCATAAAGGCCACTCAGTCTATTTATCTATATTTTCAGTTCAAATCACGTAATTATACCTAAACGTTATCGGCATTAAAGAGGTTTTTTTATATCCTTAAAAAGTTTCAGACTGTTTTATCTAATTTTGCCTCCTGTGTTTGATTTCCTGATAATCTAGACAGAATACAAGCTTCGAAATTTTATGATTCGATTGCGCTTATAGCTATGTAATTATATCCTCTTGTAATGTTTCAACAAGGAATCACTGGGTTTACAAGTCCGTTCCATAGAATAATAAATCTTATAACACAACCAGTAGAAGATTAAAACGTGACGTTCCGATGACTACGCGGCCACCTTCATCAGACAAATGACCGGTGGGGAGCGTAACAGCACTGTGTAAGAAATGTTAAGGAATCGGCCAACTTTTTTCGGCTGTATTTCAATCCTATGTACACTAAGGTCAAAAATAATGTGACGAGATGGTAAACAGATTATAGACGAAATAAATACACAGGATGGTAACATTGTACTGTAGTCAATTCGGCTACGATTGGTTTTAACACTTGGTCACAGATGTGCGAGAGTCTGTAACCCCCTCCCCGCTGCAGCGTGTCCAGATGGCTTCCTTAACCAGCAGCCTGAAAAAGGTTGTTTTCCCTGTCATCCATAATCTGTTTACCATCTCGTCACAATATTTTCGACCTTAGTGTACATAGAATTAAAGTACAGCCGAAAAAGTTGGTCGTTCCGTTTGATTAAGGCTAGAATAAGGCTATAACATGTGTTATGCACTGTCTAGTGGTTTTCTGAACGTACATGTATGTAATCACGTATACCATTATTAAGTACATTGAACATGTCATCTATCTGTGCATATGGAATTGCAATATTTGACATTCAAATGAAATCAAGGTCATTCATGTTTTAGCTGCTAAATTGTTTTTGTAAAACCCTAGCATATCAATGCAGCGAACTTAGGAAACCAATGTGATGATGTTTTAGTGCTTGTTAAACATCTACATCGCTCTTACGTGCTTCATCGTGATGAAGCCTACCTCAAACGGAAGTGTTTTACATTGGATTTCAAATAAACTGCCAGATCGATCACAAGAGGAAGTGAAGGAATGGTCTAAGCACATGGTATTAAAGAGTTTTCTATACAGCTGCATCATGCTCATCAAGTTCATATTTAAAACGATGAAAAGGAATTATGGAATTTTCTCATATCCATTTCGATAAAAACATCTTGTACAGACATTTTTGATCGCTACACAACGTCAACAGGCATTTGATGTCTTAATCACGTGACTCTACTCCTCGCGATGTTACGCTGATGTAACGACTTAATTTCATTATGACGCTGAGAAAACGTAACACGGAGATCAGTCCAAAATGATATCCAGGATGTTGTGGATTATCTTTTTTTTTTATTTTTCAAAGGCACTATACAGTGTTAATGCTGAAAAGGTATTCTTAAATATTTATTGGGAACAATTTATTTATAAACTTTTCAACTAGTACAAATTTCTGCAAAAAAAACAAAAAATCACACACAAAACAAACCAAAAACACCCACAGTTTACGGTATATCTTACATTCAAATTAGTTCAAAACATTTGAAAGTTTTAAGTAATAACACTATTCTCGTTTTAATAATGAATGAAAATAATGATTTATAAATATAGTTTAAGCTAATCGGATATTTTACCACACCTGGCCCCAGTTGTATAAAACATCTCAACTTGAGATTTCCTCAAGCCGAGATTTTCCTCAGCTAATATCTCCTTAAAAATATCTTGTATGAAAATTCCTCAAGGAATTTCAGGACATCCTTGCCGATGACTTCCTTCTGTTCCTTGAGAAAAGTTTATACGAGCCGTTTCTGAGAAGATATCAGCTGAGGAAAATCTCGACTTGTGGAAATCTCAAGTTGAGATGTTTTATACAAGTGGGGCCTGGTAACTCCTAAACTAGGTGAGATGGGGTGAACTGATTAGCTTGTGTACCTTGTGTCTCATGACCGATTTGTGATTTTTTTTAATAAATCAATCTTGTAGTTTACATCCTATGTAAGACATGTGGCTAAGAAACACTTGTCAATGTGCTAGAATTTGGTCCGAGTGAAGAATCTGGAAAATCAAGATTTACGAACGAAACGGTGAATGTGAAAAACAACTCGAACCTTCTACCATAAGTGTAAACATTGCGTAACAGTCTCTGTCTTAATTTATTATTGTTATTGACTCTGGTGTATATATCGGAAAGTAGAAAATGGTTCGAATGTTCCCCAGTGTTATACCAGCACGTTAAGTAGGGAGTATTACCGTGCAGTTGTCAATATCAGCTTATCTCTTAATCAATTAAACACACTGTTATATCGAGCGATGCACGTGCCAAATATTGCACGTGTTTGGCTTCCCTACGGAGAACATGTTTGATATTCACAGGGTGAGTGCACGTGCTGAATTTTAAATTTGCTTAATTATTGCTCCGTATGCTGATATCTATCTGATTTCTCTGCGTGTACAAGTGTTAAAGCCGGATCTGGACTAATTCTTCCGGAAAAAACCATCTGTAACAGACAACTTTAAGACATGGATTCACTCCGGGTAGCGCTGAATCGGTCCGAGGATAGGTTCACCATACTCCTTCCTCTCTCTCCCTTTCTCCTCGTTACAGGTATCTCTACAGAGCAGTGTACTTTTATCAATATAAAACACAACTATTTCAAAACGCAAAGTGAAAAGCTTCTTAGCGACAAGTAAAGCTGTAGTAAACAGAATGCGGAGGCAGAACAGAAATCCGTACTACTTAATACGATTTTGAAAAATCATATTAACGGTATGTACACCTACTTTTGTGTGGATATTGATTGTTTTAAAAGAAAAAAAATGAAGTGATAAAAATAATCTTGACATCTGAGATGCGACGTCTTTGAGCGTACTGCCGTTAAGACGAATGTTTCTGTAAACTGACATACAGAGCTTAATGTGCATAGAAGACAGAAATAATTTAAGGACAAATTGAGACATAATACAACTAGTAATATTGGAATGGAATCGATATTTAAGCCCACGAACAAATCCTTAATTTACGTTTTGTTTTGTTTTTTATTATTATTGTTTAACATCCTATTACCGGCAATGGTCATTGTAAAGACAACCATCCCGGTGTATGTGAGGTGAGTTTATGTGTCGCGTACTGGTGTGGCTTCTAGTGAGCCGGAAGTGACAACCAAAGACCAAGCAGGGCACCACATCCGGTCACGTGACTCATAATTGTAGGAGACAGAGCCCGCATAATCTTTACCTTTAACGTAGGTAAATGGACGAAATGTAAATCAGTGACCTACAGTTTTTCTTTATTTTTTTTTTTACACATAAATAACTACAATGTCCTTTCATTGCACTTCATTACAAATCCCCAACAGAACCTCTCCCCACCAGTCAACACCGAATTAACCACACATACAAATAAGAGGTCTAGAGCTTTAACAGTTACCTGAGCTACACTGCACGTCATAGAGAAGATTTTGTTTAAAAAGTTATATGACTTTAACTACCATACATCATACATTGTTAACATACTGTAAATGCAGACTGAACATAACATTAACTACTGTCCCATGCTAAGGTTTCTAGCCAAGTTTGAATTAATCGCACTCAAACATGTTATTTTCCTAAATAAACTTTAGTAATTTTTACCCCATCCCATGAGGTAATGAAATTCACAATTCTGGTAAACAACTATTAGGCATGAAGAGTATTTAGTTCTGCTTTATCTTAGTATTGAAAATAAATTTTTTGAAATTTCAGTCAATTTGACCAATTTTTGGACCCATCCAACAGCCCTTGGTGTCAGGCAAGGTCAATATGTGCATCTCATCACAAAAATTTAATTTTTCTACATGAACTGAAGTAAACTTTAACCTCTCCCAAGCAGGAAATATAAGACACTAGAGTCATGAAAATTACAATTTTGGTAAAGACAATTCTGGCCCAACCCCTCAGGCCTCTAGGACCATATAATTTATACTTTTGGTGCGTCTTAGTCATGGAAGGTTTTTGCAAAATTTGTTGAAATTGGTTCAGGTGTTTCCAGAAGAAGTCGTAAATGTTAAAAGTTTACAATGCACGATGCCAGACAAAAGGTGATCACAATAGGTCACCCTGAGAACTTTGTCTCTGGTGACTTAAAAAGCTAGTTAATGGGCAATGTAACTGAAATGCTTGTAAAGACCATCATACCATTGACAATTATTAACAAATTTGAACCCTGGGTTGTTCAGAACTTGAAAAATAGTAATTTGACAACAGAAATTTCAGGACATTAACTCCACCATTCTTTCAGCAGGTAAGCTAAAACAACACAATAAAATACTGTTTTAAAATTACTTCACTTTAATTTTTTTTCCCAAAGATAAATAATTTAAACAACTTTATCATTTCTTCACCTCACCAATGTCATCTATATTGTCTTCATCAATCTGAAAAGAAACAAAACATTGGTTTAAGTAAAGTATTAGGCACAATCCTAATTTTACCTACCTGCCATAGAGACATATTCTACTCTACCAATGAGACATTTTAAAACTACATCCTTGTGCTTGACATCACCACTGACTTGTCTGGAAATTATCTTAACTTGATGTCAGAATTCATCTTATATTTTCTGCGAGTTGGGATAGAGCATTTTACTGCTGGACTGAACAAGCTAATAAGACAGCTCAGTACATAATGCTAAATACTATTAACAACAATCAAAACAGAAAAGCAAATCATATGAATATAAAACTTTAATTGGTAAATGTTTTGAGTAAATAACCTGTAATTACTAATTACCTGGGGCCACTTTTCACACAGAATGTCAAATAAGTCATCTCGCTTATCTCCCTGAATAGAGATTTCATCTTCAGCTACTACAGACGAACCACAGGAAAACTTCTGGGAGAAAAATCGACTAGCTTCCTTCAGATCAATTTCTGTAACAAATATGAAATATTGATATTTTTCCCTGAAAATTATCAATGAAATATATTTCACTTTAGTAGGTTCTTAGTTTATAATCATCAATTCTAGTGATCAAATTTCTTGTTTACACCTCAAGATAACAATATATATTTGATATATATTTCTTTGTTTTCACAGACTGATTTCAGAGAAATTTTCCCCTTCATTACTATCTTCTATAAACAGCATGCAGTAAAACAAACTTTACCATAGGTTGAGAGGCCAGTGATCACTGTACTCCTTTTCTTTCCTCTTTTTATGTACCCCAGATTTATTCCCTGAGGTTCGGCCTTCTTTTTGGCTTTCACCTGTCCTTTTCCTCCCCTCTTCTGTCTTTTCTTCTCTGCATCTCCAGTTTCTCCTTCTTCCCCATCTAAACACAAAAATCCAGAACATAATTCTAATTTTTCCATTTTAAGCCTCTTTGAACAAAATGTATGAATTCTACACGTGTACTGTATTAGTTTTTTAAGTCTAATCTCAACACCGCACATTTTTTTATAACTCTTGTTTCCCCCTTGTTTACATTTTAAGGATATCTGACACTGTAACAGTCCTAAATACTAAACACATATACTGAAATCGACCACAGGAGTGCAGAAAAATGTTATTGTTCTTATTATCAAAGGAATCTATTTTTATAATTTTCAAAGATGAAATAAAATCAAGAAAAAAAGAGACCTTAAAAATGAAGTAAAGAAAAGAGTAGGTCATTTTATGACCTTCATGAAAAATACATCCTTTTTGTTGCAAGCTTTTGGGTTTACCATGAAAAATTTCGACAACTGAAAACACAACTCCTATATTTCTCTATTAGACACAAATTAGGAAGGCAAAAACTTAATTACAAACAATGTATGTATTTTCATTATAATCTTATTTTAGTGCTTTTCACATTGAAAATATTGCACTATAAATGGTTATTGTAATTGTAGTTTCAATATATTGTTTAAACAAGAGGCCCATGGGCCTTAACGGTCATCTGACAAAAAGCAAGCCAAACCTAGAAAGTGGGTTGAGGTCATTCATTTGAACAAACTTGGTAGCCTCTCCTCCAAGCATCTTACAGGCCCAATATCAGCACTCATGGACTTTTGCTTGTTGAGAAGAAGTCGTTTGTATATTTTAACATATTTGACCCCTGTGACCTTGAAAGTGGGTTGAGGTCATTCATTTGAATAAACTTGGTAGCCTTTCCTCCCAGCATGCTACAGACCCAATATCGGCACTCATAGACTTTTGCTTATTGAGATGAAGTCCTTTGTATATTTTAACATATTTGACCCCTGTGACCTTGAAAGTGGGCCAAGGTCATTCATTTGAACAAACTTTGTAGGGCTCCATGCCAGCATGCTATGGGCCAAGTATTAGCCCCCTAGGCCTTCTAGTATTTGAGAAGAAGTTATTTAAAGATTTTGACATATTTGACCCCTGCTACCTTGAAAGTTGTTCAAGGTCATTCATTTAAATAAACTTGGTAGCCTTTCCTCCCAGCATGCTACAGACCAAATATCGGCACTCATAGACTTTTGCTTATTGAGATGAAGTCCTTTGTATATTTTAACATATTTGACCCCTGTGACCTTGAAAGTGGGCCAAGGTCATTCATTTGAACAAACTTTGTAGGGCTCCATGCCAGCATGCTATGGGCCAAGTATTAGCCCCCTAGGCCTTCTAGTATTTGAGAAGAAGTTATTTAAAGATTTTGACATATTTGACCCCTGTGACCTTGAAAGTTGTTCAAGGTCATTCATTTAAACAAACTTAATAGCCCTTCATCCCAGCATGCCACAGGCACAATATCAGCAATCTGAGCCTTTTGGTTATTGAGAGAAGTTGTTTAAAGATTTTAACATATTTGACCCCTGTGACCTTTAAAGTGGGTCAAGGTCATTCATTTGAACAAACTTGGTAGTCCTTCATCCCAGCATGCTACAGGCCTTATTTTAGTTGCCTGGGCCTTTTGATTACTGAGAAGAAGTCCTTTGAAGATTTAAAGACATTTGACCCCTGTGACCTTGAATGAAGGTCAAGGTCATTCATTTGAACAAACTTGGTAGGGTTTCATCAAAGCAAGCTACAGGCTAAATATTAGTTGCCTGGGCCCTCCAGTTATTGAGAAGAAGTCGTTTGAAGATTTTAAGACATTTGACCCCTGTGACCTTGAATGAAGGTCAAGGTCATTCTTTTTAACAAACTTGGTAGGGCTTCATCAAAGCAAGCTACAGGCCAAATATTAGTTGCCTGGGCCTTCCAATTATTGAGAAGAAGTCGTTTGAATGAAAAGTTTACGGACGGCGCACGGCGGACGGCGCACGGCGGACGACGACGGACGAAGCATGATGACTATAGGTCATCGGACCCTTCGGGTCAGATGACCTAAAAAGTATGTAACAATGATTGTGGATGAAAAAATTCATTGTTGTACTAAATTTGCCAAGAAGTGATAATGTTTTAAGATTTGAATGTGCTTAATTATGTATGTTTACAGAATTAGAATTGTCAAAAGACATCCTAGGCCATTGAAAACAATGTTTGAAGACTGTCGGTATTCGTAATATGACACAGTCTCAAAGTAGTTCACAAGCAGTAATATACACATTCTAGATCTGGAATATTTGCCATGAAACTGTAGTATAAAACTCATCATGACTTCCCAGGTTCTATTTCCTAAAATCATCAAAAGCATTACATTATTAGATAACATATTTTAAAAATAATATTGCTATTCTGGAACAAGCAAAATATTAAACTATACTTTTCTTTAACTTTGTTAATGTTTTACCATATAGTATTATTTATCTCCTACACCATCACACAAAATTTATTTTGATGTTTTTTTTTAAAGAAGTCAAAAATTAGTTGGACATAAATTAGTTAAACTGACCTGCCTTCAGCCTTTCAAATTGTTCAGGTAAGTTTGTCTCCAGCCACTTCTTACATTTCTCATAGTTTGGATAATACTCACAGTACTAAAACAGAGAAGGCAATAGACACACAAGGTCTAAAGGGAAATAACTCTCATAACAAAAACACTAGTCTGAGGTTAGACAGTACAATTACATACATTATGTAAAATAATAGGTAGAATTTTGTCAGTAGAAGCGAATAGTTAACTCAAACAAAGACCTTCTTGTTGAGAAAAAATTGAATTTGTTTGAGGAATGAAGCATAAATTGTCAAAGTTATCTTGATATAAGCTACCTGGTACCAAATTTACCCTGTATTAATTCAAGAAGACAACACATTACCTGTAACTCAAAGTAATGGGATGGGCTTATTACATAAAAATGAAGACTAGTTCATAACTTTGCTGAACATTAGAGATGGTAAGGTGTATTCCTAGTAGTAGAGAAAGCATGTTAAGTCATAATGAATTGCTTACCTCAAGTGGCATGGAACACTCTGAAACAAAAACCAACCAATACTATAGTACTTCTCAAAATAAAGCATTATATATAAATTGTATATCCTTTATCTATCTTCCAAATCGATAGGTATTCATGAATTCTATACCACATAACAGAGTATTTACATAGACCACAGGATTGTGGTGTTATTCAATAAATATACACATTTCAAATTTGGTGTGCAACATTACATACCAAAATGTTTGATATTATGACATGTCGTGATGACAAAGATAATGAAATGACATCACAAACTTGCAAATACAATTTATGATATGACACAATGGTACATGTAACTAAATCTGACATGCAAATTATCTTACCAATCTATTTGTGTATATAAAACATATCACCATCCTAAAATATATCACTATCCTATTTGTATATTAAATATTCCTTATGAGAATTTTAAAGTTTTTACTTTGATTATGGACAAGATTTTGAAAATAAAGTTACCTACCTCCACAATACAACACCTTGATAGGGTAAGTGATATCCGACCTTGGCCCTTCATACACCAGGTATTGACGCCCTTCTGCTGCGGGCGCTGGTACCACTACAGGTTCAGCAGCAGCCATGTTTCACTGCAATTAAAAAAATAGATATGGTTCTTTTAAGTTTTATCTACAGCTTGTTAAGTGTATATAACTAGAGAAAGTGAGGTTCACAATATCTCAACTCAAATTCCTACTTCCTGGTTTATCCATCGTAAAAAAATGTCCTTTATTAGCGATTTGCTAAGTAAACTAATAGTGAATTACAGGTGTATTTCATTCCCATTTTCATAATTCCTCTAAAGGATAACTGAACTCACACAGGTGCTTATCCTAAACAACTTATTATAGGTATATCATGAGCATGGTCATTGTACATGTAATACAAAATGTTATCATATCTCCCACATACAATACATGTATATTAGACATTTTGATTAACAATGACAAAAGTTTGACCAATCAGGGATCTATATTCTAATACCTAATTTCAGTGAAAATAGAATATTCAAAATCAAGTGTATGTACATAAATAGCAGTATATTTTTTAACAGGACAAATTGTTTTGACTAGTTAAAGACAAGTGTTTCTGATCACTGATATAGATGGATGTCTAGACATTTTGCACTCTCTACCATGCTTTACATCCACTTGCAACTGTTTAACCACATTGTAAAATGTGAGAAAATGAATTTCATCCCATTACCAACAGTAGTATGCCAGTCATATTCCAAAGAAACATTTGAGATGTATTGTATCAATAAAATAAATTACAAATATGGAAATGGTAAAAATTAGTTGAAACATCAAGAGAAAAAACGAGTTTCAAGGAAATAGATTAAAAACTGAGGAAGGTGGTATCTGGACAAGATAAGAGAAATTCTGAGGAAGTAGATCATTGTACAAAGGTAAAAAAAGTAAAAAAGATGATGAGCAATAAGTTGAATACCGTAAAACCTTTAAAAAACATTGAATCTAACTTCTATGTCTTAAAGTCTATTTCAAGTTTGAAAGAAATCAGTCAAAACTAAGAGTAGAGCAAAATTAACATGAAAACAGTCAAATCTACCAGCTGTTCAGGAAAAAAAAACTTTGTGTCATGGCAATAAAGACTTCCAATATTGAAAGGAATATATTGAAAATTGACAGGATATTTCACAACAGGATTAACATTATGAAAACAAGTAGTAGTAACTCTTCAAAAAACAGAATGAAATTGTTGTCCAAAAATATACAACACTATGTCATGGTGATTTAACCCACCAAGTTTGAAATTATGAAAGCAAATGTGCCAGCTACTCTTCCAAATAGTATATACTGTCAACTCAAATTGCTGCTTAGGGAAAAATGACTTCATGTTGTGGAGACTAAGCCTGTCAAATCTGAACATACAGAAAATGCTAATTACAAAATTAAAATAGCGTGTGTTTTGATGTTGCGATGTATACATTCATGTACAATCGAACGTACCAGTCTCTGTTTAGAGCTTTTATACCTTCCTTGTTAGTTACAACCCGACACACCCGTCTATGTTTTAAGCTATTACCTCCATTGTCAGAAAAGGTTGTGAGGTCATTATGGAACTTGATACACCTGTACAGCAGAGTGAAGTGATAATGTAACATTATAATTTATCGTCAGTGTCTTGGTCAAGCCCCAGACCTGTACATTGTACGTGAATGTTAATAAACTTCTGGAAGACTGACATCAAATGACGAAGAGCTGTACATTTACAATGAAAATGATGACACAAATTTGTACAGTGATAAGAATTTAAAAATCGCTTTAAAAACAGAATAAACCATTGGTTTAGGATCTTCAAGTCGTCTTCCCGAAGACGAGCAGTGATTTTTTTGTCACACAGCTTTGAAGGTAAACTCAAACAGATTTTATAACAGAACGGTGCGTATAAATAATCTGATGTCTTTTGGTATCAATTACTTTGTACATTGTTCATATTAATTTACATCATAATCCTTAACCGAACAAAATATCATGCGATAAAATAACAAAATATACTATCACATACCACTTTTCACTCACATGTATTTCTTCCGGATGTACTTGTAACTTAGCCGGCTTATTGAGCATGCGCTTTCAAACAGGAACCGGATTAGGAAATTTTGTAAACAAATTCAAAAAAACGGACTCTCGCAGGAGATAAATCAGTAGCTTTCATTTTTACGTTTAGCTTGCCGGTGATTCGTAAGTTTGTTTTATAACGATTTTACAATATTTGACGCTATTCATGATGTTCTAGTACTTGATTGTAGATGGAAAAACAACAAACCTAGTGCCGTTTTTCCGGTAGATGGGTCTGTGCATGTTTTCGAATCTGTTGATATTGGCATTTTGAATTGCAGTTAAAATTTTAATCTGTAGATTAAGAGAAAATAATTATAAAGCTATATTTTGAGCGATACAGAAAAGGATGGAATTATTGAAAACAAATATTGGATTACAAGTTCATGTTTAATAAGGAATAGAGCTAATACAGCCAACCTCTGGATAGGTTTTCTGGTTTTTTTTCTCTTAATAGTTAAAAAGTTTATGTATTAACTTGGATTAACTTACATAAATTAATATGATTACAAATATATACATGATGTATAAAAGCATAAAGAATGAATTGGTTTCAAGAATGGGAATGTTTCATGTATAATACAGCTGAAGAAGGTGAAGTGTATTCCAGATTAGGGCATGATTAGAAAAATATAATAATTAATTACAGCATGATACATTTTAGCGACAGGAATTATCGGTCTTATCCCAGATAAGCTTCTGTCGGGGTCTTCAGTTGAATGTCATCAATTCATTTAATCATGATCACATGCATTTGAAATTCTGACTTTAAATTTTAAAATATCTGCCATACTTATTTATGGTTACTTATGGTGGTTATAGTTAGCACACATCCTCATCATAGTATAGGTCAGTGTCTTAAAATATCAGTCAGATTTTTATGAGAATGGAGAAAGACAATAGTGGCAAACCTGTCATAAATAAACTTGTTTGTTACAATAAATTAAATCACTTATCTATATATTTTTAAATTTTTCAGTGAAATGTTTAAATAAACCAGAAACTTATTCTGTTGAATTGATGCACATTCTAAAATACATGTATAGCTATTTTCCGTCACTGCTAAACACAGCAAAAATACATGCTGCAGGTGTATTCAGACTATATCAGCACAAGTTGCTGGATAAAGTAAAATAAGATAGATTTGATTATGATCCACTTGGTAAAACATTAGATACATAACAATATAAGTGAAGCATGCCCACTGAGCCTCTGATTTAAGCTCACAGTTGAAATTAATTGATGGATTGATATTGAAGTTCTACCTTAATCAAATTTGATACTCACATGGCTGATATATATATTGTTGCTTAATACATTATACAGGGTATTTCACAGTGACTAGATCTGACCAATATTTTATACTTGAATGAATTTAAACCTCTAGGCAAGTATTTCCCTTTGTTTATCTGTTAATGGTTAAAAAAAATCATCATTACATTGTGAATGTAATTAGCTTGATGGAATTAACCAAGAAGTCAACAGTCCTTTTGAATAGGTTAAAGGTGAAAGTCATCATGTGAATGTCAACGTCATTTCTGCCTATTGCAATGATAATGTTACATGTAGTTTCAAATTTCTGTCAAGTTGTCTAGTATGTTGATATTGGGGAAATTTATAATGATTAATTCCTTTGATATTTGTTAGACTTTGTTAGTCCTACAAATACATGTACCAACATTACAAACATTCAGAACAGAGATGTTAACTACTGACTACGATATATATATGTTAATGTTGTAACTCTTTCATCTTATTTCAGAAAGCTGAGAATCTGAAAGGGAGACAATTTCTACAATCACCAGTGAAGAAGGGTGGCAGGTAGAACTTGACCAACTTTCATAGCCAGTCCTGATTGATTTATGAATTATATTCATGTTGGGCTCCATGAATGGATTTTCAACCAGGGACATTTTTGGATGATTCAGGTATGCTTTGTCTGCTATTGTACTTTTATAAAAATCTTAAAGAAATAAATTGTTAAAAGAAATTTTTAAGGAAGCTGTGGCAATACAGTTTATATAACCTTAATTTCAAGAAAATAATAATTATAGTTAGGATATTGTTAATATGTTATCTCTGTCCACAGGAATATTGCCAGTGTCTAATGCAGAAGACATTATCCACAGTACACCCGTCAAGGTTAGCATGAAGTGTGTTATGTAAAATAGTGTGGGTCAGAGATATAAAGATTACAAGTAAGGCATTATATATTTATAGCATTGAAGGACTCTGTTGGATAATGTTATCAATATTATGAAGAACTCTTTCATGCTTATGTGTTTAGATTCATGAGGTCAGATCAAGTAAAAAATATTTCATAAGAAATTCAAATCATGATCATTTTCATGGTATGGTTTGAATATTTTGAAATTTCAAACAATACATTCTATATGTTGATTAACTGTATGTATGTGTTTTACTAGTACATACATAATACAGTTATTTCTCTTGCCTATGGTATAATTTTAATTTCCTTCCAGATTTTATTAATGTATTTGCATTTTTTCATGTTACCGGACACGATTCTACAAATAACTGGTAGATACATTTATATTTACAGTCATCTATTCCTCCATTTTCCACCAAAAAGAAAGCACACACGAAGAAAACTATCAGTGTACCACCGCAGACTGGGGGATTAAGCTCACAACAAAGACGCAACGATAAACCACGCCACCATGAGAGAAGCAACACCAGTCGAGTGGCACCCTTAGCTCACACACCTCCACCTAGTACGATGCCACAACAACAGTTCCCTCCCTTTGATGTAGGCATTGCGCAAAGGCCCCCAGCAGAGGGAACATACAATAACCAGTATGAAAGTTATCGTAATATGTCAATACCATATGCAGAAAACAAGAAAATTTCAACTTCTCCAGCAGGACAAAGACAATTGTCAACATTTGGTCAGTCTGTGAGTGGACAGTATGGTGGTCAGTCTAGTGTGATCAGATCAGAACCTGGAGCAGTGACAAGTCCAGCTAGAGCTCATGAAAAATACTCATTTAGATCTCAGGTATTCAACAGAGTCAGCCTTAATCTAAACTTTATTTTATAAAAAATGGATTTCATTTTAAGTGTCTGTGATGGATAGACCAACGATGAAAAATATTGCTAAGAAATAAGCCCAAACTTGAAATGAAACTAATGTATCTACATCAGTGGTATAAAGTGACCCACACATTAGAGGCTGCTGACTGATCTACATTCCTGAAAAATATACTCAATAACAGAAAATAAATGTGTCCTTCGTTTGATTAAGCTCGTAAATAGCCATTTTGATAAAAACTCAAATTTTGACAGTATAACCACAACACACTGCTGCAAATTTCAGAACAAATTATATATTTATAACAGAAGTAAAGTCATATGTATGGTTTAGTTTGATATTACATGAATTTTTTGAGCACTTGTTTCGTTATTCCTGTTGTTAGATAAAAAATTTGTAACAATTTTCCTGATACATGTCATATGTTTTGTTATTTAAAGAATGCCTCTGATCTTGAGAGCTCAACTATAAAGAGGCAAAGACAGGAGATTCAGCTGTTGGTTGCTGAGTTACAAGATCGTGACAGGGAACTTAATGACATGATGTCTGCCCATCAACAGCAGTTGTTGGCATGGGAACAGGACAGGCAAAGAATCCTAATTCTAGAACAGAAATGTGCAAGATATGATGGTTTGTATCTCTGAAAACAAAGCTTAGGGAAAGTATATATCTATAAATATAATGATTTGGTTCTGATAGAATTTTGATATTCTTAATTGATGTTAACAGGCATGTAAATTTAAAGGATAATTTAAATGACAGAAACTCGGGTGATTGGTGTGTAGATGACTTTTGATTTTTGGATGGTTTACCAGAAAGTATTGTATTAAAATAAACACTGACTTAACCTCTCTGTTTGATTTACATCCTGTGTGAACCCCACTCCTGATCATTGTACATACACCACATCAATTATAATTTGCTTTTATAATCCTTTAATACAGTGATACCTGTAATGGAAATATCAAACCTGTATTTTTCTACAGTCGTATGTCAACCAAAGTATCAGTCCTTTTTCTTCGACTTACAGCAACTAATGTCTGCATAAAATGGGGGATGATGATACCCTGGTAACATTTCCTTAAAGATTGAAAATGTGTTCCTGATTTTTCTTCATTTTGGAACAACATTACGCTTACTGCTTAAGAGAAAATCTTGTTTTTGGCATTAGTACATGACAAAAAAATTATCTGAAATGTTTAACATAATCCTTTGAAAAAATAAATTGATTTAATGATGATAGTTACGTTGTCACCTGATTTGTACACAGGTGATTTAAATGAGAGGAACAAGCAGTTAAAGAGTGCCATGTCACGACTGAAGCTATTAAAGAATGAAAGTCACAACCACAACTCAACGCTGGAGTCAACAGTGGAACAGCTGGCCAAACTGAGCTCAGAGAACAGTCATCACACCACAGTCATACAGGAACTGGAGGTAGTAAACACTAAGGTTGATGATTGGTGTATCTGTGTGATGTTTTTACTCTCCAATGAAAATATTGTTTATACTAAAACTATATACTGTTAAAAGTTATTTCTATAATGAATTTAGACAAGATATGAATTAACAGAATTTTTAGTTTGTTATCATTTTCCTGCCATCCTCTTCACAACTAAAGACTACAACTATGCACAGATTATAGTGCCATATAATATGTACTGTTCATTGATTTTGATGGTATAAATGATACATATTTGTTATTTATTGTTAAAATAGAGGTTCAATAACTGTAACAGTAAACTGCCAACTTATCTGTAAACAAAATGTACTATACATTGATACTTTAGGAGAAGAACCAGTCATTGAGCTTATCCAAGAGAGAACTGTCCAATACCATTGGTCAACTCCAGGCCAGAGAACATGAAATGGTCACTTTGGTTAAACTTAAGGTAGGTCCCCTCCAAACTGATTTGAAATGAAAACAATTCATCCTATTTAGTTTTCAAAGGGCTGTTTCATTTTATAGGTTTTTAATTCATGTGTTTCACTAAGTTAAATGTTTTACAATTAGTTTGATTTTATAGGCTAACATTACATTTTTTACTTAGTTTAAAGACACATTTGTTGCTTTTGTGTTTGTATTTCAAAATGAGCACACTTTCAGGCCATTGTCTCCTGAATTGTGATATCCTTTGTTCAATAACCATACAGTACAAGTATATATTTCTCATACAGACAGCTTGATTGACCTAAATGTGATAGACCTCTTTGCTACTAACCTTTTGTTTTACCCACCTATACTCCCAACCTCTGTGAAAACTGCAGTTATATGTGTTAGACATAGTATATGTTCCATTTCTAATTGTCATTGATAAATTTTGTAAAATACCACTTCTTTCTGGTTTAAATATTTAAGTATTTCTGGTACATGTACCAAAGAATTACATTTTCTATTAAAGATGTTGTCACTTGTGGTTTATATATTTGATTACTATTATTGTTACCAAATTTTCCAAGTGAACTGTGAAATATACATGTATGTTTGGTATCTCAGGTAGCAGATTTATATTTAGCCCCATATTATGAGAACATCACATTCTACACTTGGCTGCAGGTTGAGACCATTCTTGTCTTATACACATTTTCTTTCATTATATTCCTGACAGGAGAGGGGGAGCATATAGCACTACCCATGTCCGTCCTTTTCTTCACTTTCTGTTCTGAATCAGTGTCATATCTCGGGATCCTCTCAACAGATTCATGTTTACCCATACTATCATAGTACCAAGAACTACAATTGATTAGATTCTGGTTAACATAAAAGCTGGGATGTTCACGTTTTCCAGGCATTTGCTAGTTTTTATTTGAGTTTTTCACATTTTCTTACTTCCTATAGGAGGATAGAGTTTTACCTTTGCATGCTTCTGATAGTTCTAGTCTTTATCTAGGTTTTCCCATTTTCCTACTTCCTATAGGAGGATAGAGTTTTACCTTTGCATGCTTCTGATAGTTCTAGTTTTTATCTAGGCTTTCCCATTTTCTTACTTCCTATAGGAGGATAGAGTTTTACCTTTGCATGCTTCTGATAGTTCTAGTTTTTATCTAGGCTTTCCCATTTTCTTACTTCCTATAGGAGGATAGAGTTTTACCTTTGCATGCTTCTGATAGTTCTAGTTTTTATCTAGGTTTTCCCATTTTCCTACTTCCTATAGGAGGATAGAGTTTTACCTTTGCATGCTTCTGATAGTTCTAGTCATTATCTAGGCTTTCCCATTTTCTTACTTCCTATAGGAGGATAGAGTTTTACCTTTGCATGCTTCTGATAGTTCTAGTCTTTATCTAGGTTTTCCCATTTTCTTACTTCCTATAGGAGGATAGAGTTTTACCTTTGCATGCTTCTGATAGTTCTAGTTTTTATCTAGGTTTTCCCATTTTCTTACTTCCTATAGGAGGATAGAGTTTTACCTTTGCATGCTTCTGATAGTTCTAGTCTTTATCTAGGCTTTCCCATTTTCTTACTTCCTATAGGAGGATAGAGTTTTACCTTTGCATGCTTCTGATAGTTCTAGTCTTTATCTAGGCTTTCCCATTTTCTTACTTCCTATAGGAGGATAGAGTTTTACCTTTGCATGCTTCTGATAGTTCTAGTCTTTATCTAGGCTTTCCCATTTTCTTACTTCCTATAGGAGGATAGAGTTTTACCTTTGCATGCTTCTGATAGTTCTAGTCTTTATCTAGGCTTTCCTATTTTCTTACTTCCTATAGGAGGATAGAGGTTTACCTTTGCATGCTTCTGATAGTTCTAGTCTTTATCTAGGCTTTCCCATTTTCTTACTTCCTATAGGAGGATAGAGTTTTACCTTTGCATGTTGCTGATAGTTCTAGTTTTTATTCAGGAACAAGATCTGACCAGTGCAACCTCCCACATACAGGAGCTGAATGACCGGTTAAAACAACTGGACATTCGTTGTAAAGAGTGTCAGAATGGAGAAGTGGAGGCTGTTAAACAGGCAAACCAATGGAAACAGAAACATAGTGACCTTAAAAAGGAATTGGAAGTCTCCACAGGTGAGAATCTTCTGATGTACATATTTATTGTAAACTTGTTTTGGGGGAGGAATTTTACAGAAAGTCAATTGATTTCTAAATGGACAATTAAGTTATTTTTTCTGCCACATGATGTAAAGAAAATTGATTTAAAGTCTTAAAATGCCATTATGGTAAAAATATGATTGCATGTACATTTATGACTTAATGTTTTGCCCTTCTTAATAATCTTAAGGTGATGAAATTAATGCTATGAAGCCATGTTGACAGTATGAATGGGAATATAAATCCTGAAGAAGAGTTTGGCAATATAAGTATAAGCGACATAAGATGAGAATGTTTCAATGAACTTAAATACTTCAAAGGCAAAAGTCATTCTTTATGTAACCTAATGGGGCTGTAGGTTTTCATTGTGTCTGTCTGCTCATCCTTCTGCACATTATACTCCTGTCAGATTTCATGTGCATTTTGAACTTGAACCTTTATTAAAAAAAAAGGTTTGTTTGGGCTTGATCTGCAGTATTGCCAGTGGAACATCTTACTGTAGGACATAGGTTCACTGGCACATTGAAGGAAAAGCATACATGCCTGTGAAACAAGATTGATATTACTGAATTCATTGCGAATGATACCACCGAATGCAGTTTCAGTGATACATGGTGTCACTGGAGATGATAGTAATGCAGCACCACTTACCAGTATTCATCCAGCTGTTTTATTTGTAGTTGTATTACCAATCACATTTCTTTATTTAGTACATGAGTCTGTCAAACATTCAGAGTCTAAAAATAGCTTCTGCACAAATTTATCATCTGTACAATCTTGACATATGATTTCACATTGGATGTGGGACTGTATTTTACTAAATTGGCTTGTTTATACATGCCGAATAACTTTGGGAAATACATCTCTGTTCAGTGTTCACTGCTTTTAAGCCTTCTTTCTAATTGGTTTACCTTTGTTTCAGATATAGACAGATGTTCTATATGATATTTATCGTTTGAATATATACACTTAAATTCTTTCTCAAAGACAACCATATGTATTTACATAATAAGAGTTTGATCTGTTTGGCAGAGTTGGTGACAAGGAGAGACTCTGAGGTACAGGAGATGACTGGGAAACTGGACCAGATGAAACACCTACAGGCTGTCATGCAGGATGAGTTTAGTAAGTTCAATGTAACAAATATATAGTGTAATTCCTGGTAATATGGATACTGCATCATTCATATGTTTGTTTGCTCCATGTATCTGGAGTAAGTAAATATACAAATTAATCTTTCTGTGTAAGCTTTATATACACAATTTTTTCTAAACCAATTTTGGTATATAAGATATCATAATTTGAAATGAGGTCCATTTTTTGGGTAAACATTTTGAACTGTAAATAAGCTATTATTGTAATATATGTAATGAATTTCTTTACATTATGTTTATAAGGATTTTTTATCTTATAATGTCTAATGTTCCTTCAGATGATCGTGAGAAATGTAAGGAACAAGTGATTGAATCTCTTAGAGCGAAGCAAGGCAGAACAGATCATCAGCTGCGACATGTTAGAGAGGTATAGAGGAGATTGAGGGTCCTGTTACACCATCAGTTTATTTATTGAACTATAAGATACTTACTGTAGGTCCTCAGTGAACTTCAGCACACAGCTAATGAGAGATAGCTGAAAATGTATCAACAATTTTGTCATAAATGAATAGAAAAATATATTCAGTAGTGCTTGGAGTTAAAAATGGATAAACAAGTGGAAACAATATCTATTTCTGTGTCAAATTAGCCATTCACATTCAGTGTAATAATCTTTTTAATAAAATGTATAGTGATATATTATTCTGAGTTATCAGTGTGCTGTAAATGAGTATTTCATTGCTATTTATTTCTGTTGTGTTTTAGTTGTATGAACGCCAGCAGAGGGAGATGAATTTGTTACAGCTGAACCTAGACACAACAAAGGAAATAATTACAAAACAACAAGGCAGTTTGGAGGAATATAAGTAAGTTCTGGGATTGATCTACAGAAATACCCTGGCTAGTTGATACAGATTACCTTGTCTACAGAAATACCCTGGGTAGTTGATACAGAATACCTTGTCTACAGAATTACACTGGGTAGTTGATACAGGTTAACTTGCCATCCATCCTATTATTTACCTACTTCAAGAAATGGCCTTTCGTCTTGTGTTGCTGTCCCCTGTTTAGATATAAAGATCACTATCCAGTGTTCTTTTGGAAAACAAACAGCTTGAATACCCTTTAGAAAACACAAAAATAAAACACACACACACACAAGCACACACACAAATTAAGTTAATATTCCTGACATGATATTATAACATCCACTTTTACACTTGCTAAAATTTTGGTGGATGTTTGTCAACTTGTAAAGGTCAAAGTTAGCACTTTACCACTTCTGAAATAAAACTATTAGGGTGTTGGTACCATATCTAATTGACCCCCTGCTGACTTTTTTATTACCTGTATTAGAAATGAATATAACTGAAATTGACATATTGATAAATATTTTAGTAGTTCCTAATAATTATTATTAATTTATCAATTTTTATTTATGATTGTTTTGCTTCATCCATGTATCTTAGCCTTAGAAACTTTCTGTCCATATTATATGCATTTGGGTTTCTAGAGACTTTTTTTATCCTCAGCTCATCTAGAGGAAGTGGCAGTTATGGCAGTAAGTCTCACAGCAGTCTTTCTCCTCCTCCACCTTCCAACGAGTCACCACTGTATTATAACTCAGAAAATCAGAATCGATCACAAAAATCATGTTTACCAAAAAAGGAATTAGCTGAAAAACAGAACCATTCATATCGCCACAGTGTTAATTCCTCTCAGATACCAGCACCATCATCATCTTCAAATCGCAAGAGTGGTAATTCTTCCCGTACATCAGAGAGACATGAGCGGCACCACCATCAGCATCATTCACCGGAGTTAGTTCCTGCAAGCCCACTTGAAGCTAGAAACTTCCATCAGAGTTTACCAGCAGGGTTGTTGGAATCAGAAAACTTCAGTAGGCAGCAGAAGTCAAATTCGCCAAAAAGTAAAAGACAGATTTTTCATAAACTTTTACCTGTTGTTCAAGCTCAAGCACAAAATGAACAAGTACAACGTACCCGTCAAGGTACTCTTGTTCAACCTGAACAAACTGAAGATTTTGAACAAATATCTGAGCAAAACCAGGATAGTGATGGTCAATTTAGGACTCCACCATTGTGTAAATTTGATAAGCATAGAAGTGGTCGAGAGGAAGTGAATGCCAGAGCCTCACAGAACAACAGCTGGAACGGAGATAACACTTCACCAAAATCTGTCAGAATGACAGAATTAAGGGAGGTCGCCAAGACTATCTCTCCTGTTTCTACCAGACATCATTCACACAGTTATAGTGAACAGGAACAGAGACATATACATGTTAAAGATGATCAGATGGGGAACAGTTCACCTAGAAATTCCAGTAGAAAGTGGCCTGACACAGAAGCCATTCAGGCCCATACTTCAGCTGAAAACATATCTGTATCCTTTGAAGACAGACTTTCTTCGTTTCTGGATGATGAACCACAGTTTGAAGAGAATTCCTCAGACAGAAGACATCTTGCTAACTCTGATGTGAGTTTTCCTTTAGAGCTGTAATCTTTAAAATCAAGTAAACTCATAGATATATACACACATAGAATCTACTGAGGATATTATCAAATAATCCCCCCCCTCACCCAAGAAATGCATATACTTTGCACTTAAGGTATTACTTATATACGGTTGTCTTCACATTGGATGGTCGCTAGGTTTATAAAAAGTGTAATTATTGATAATATAGGTTGACAATGCTTTATATCACTCTCCTGATTGGATAAAGTACAATTTTACGTTGCAGAACTGATATTATAATGCAACTTCATAATTCACAACCAAGATGTTAACAATTTTTCACTCTGAAGATAAAATATAATTGTGATGTTATTTAGATAGGAGTATGCAGAAATAGGTATATGTTCAAGCATACATTTTTTTTTTTTTCAAATTTATAAACGAAAATGGTATTTTGTTACAGCCTGAATCTTCACCGGGTAGAAAATTACAACGTCTTTTACAAGAATCAAAGAAAATGATAGAAAATTTGGAGAAATCTACAAACCCGTCATCTCCATTAAAAGAGGTAAATATTCCATACTGGGTACATGTAATTGTATTCCTTGTTATGTATTAGATTTAGGAAACTCTTTCTGAAACCTTCACAAACAATTTATATTATATATTCTGTATATATACAAAGTCTATAAATGACAATGATATCAACTGACATCATCGAGCTATAATTGTTTTTATTCAAATATGTCAAAATATGATGAGTAAACTGTACTAGTATTTAACAGGATACTCTGTACAGCAGATGATCATTATGTAACTTGATTTAAAAGCAATCTTTCTTTAGTTGTCAATGTTCTTACTATCCTTTTTATCACTTTTTTATAATCAGAATTACGTTTTTTCCAGGACCAACCCAATGCAAGAGGCAGCCTGTGAAACAGATTGATTTATTGTGCACGCCTGTATAAATCACCCAACACAAAAGTTGATATTATATCTGTAACTGTTAAAATATTTCTCATAATTTGTCATCCATGTGATATGGTCAGCTACTGACATTTAAATCTGTTTAGTGGCTTTACTGACCAGGTATATGGATCTGTATTACATCAAACAATTCATCCAAAATTTTATTAGAAGCAGAATTAGGTATAGACTTAAACTTCATTGTATAACAATTTATTTATCTTAGTAAAGCAGTTTGTTTTAATTAGTGACCTGAAAATGTCATTTGAAATTTTGCAAAAAAATTAATCTAGCTGGAAATACAACTTTTTTTGGAGCAAAATATATTTACTGAAAAGGAATTTAAAAAGCTTTACTTTCAACCACACTATCTTACTTTTATTAATTAGGTATATGTTTTTTACACACCATTGTCCGTCCATATTTTAACGTGTAATTTTAATCTACAATAAGGTAATTGTTTTACAAAGTAAATGAAGGCATCTTAGGATTATCTTTTAAGGAATATTATGATTTATGCATTAGATATATGAATTACTAAATATGATCGAAGAATGAGATTGTCTCCCCTTTAATATTGTGTCACTAATACATTCCAATGTAATTGATAAACAGTATTATTTTCACCTAGTCACATTAAATTCCAACCTGTTTTTTAATTTTCGGTGAAAGAACTAAGATATACTGGTATATATATCAGCATTAAAAACTAGGAAATAAATTTCGTGTTAACGATGCTCTGCATGCTGCAATATTTTTCGTGGAACACCTTTACTACTGACCAGGAAGTGGGATGTGTTACCAAACTTAAGACTTTTTATTATCATACTCTTCTTTGAAGTTTATTTAAGCAAGATGTTAAATAAGAATCACCAAATGACCGCTATAATCACATTTTCAATAAGAAATGGTAGCTCAGCCACATCATTGATAAATATGATGAGATTGTTATAAGAACCGACTCTTCATCATTATCTGCTTTCGGTTTTAATTTTAAAGAGAATCCATTAATTGGCTTTAGTGCTTGTATATAAAAATCAAACTTTTTTTTGTATATGTAATGACATCTCAACAATTGAGAAGTTCTGTTTTCAGTAAGTTTATCTGACAAAATTGAAAGCTCTGTATGTATGCTATCTTGTAGATTATACATAATAGATTGGCCCTGTTTACTTTTTTACACAAGTTGAATGGAACAGAAAAGGTCAGCATAACAGTTATAGTGACTGGATTTGATTTAAATAAGTAAGCTTAAACAAACAACACACATTCCTATAGCAGTGGGTCAGTTTCACATGTCAAACTTTGACAGGGTTTCAATTTTACTCCAGCATGCAATTATAGAGTAATAAATCTTCTATCTTAAAGAAGATCTTATAGCAAGAACATTTTGTCTATAACAATTTCAAAAAGGATATTATAGTTATGAATTTTTAGTTACAAGGTTTGTCTGGAATACCTATATTTATAAAATAATGTTTTATTGGGAGGGAAAATGGTAACTTGTGTTAGGTTTGGATGTCTGTTTTCTTGATAAAACATATTTGTTGATATCCAATGTCTGCATTGAAGGCAGCATCCAGGGACTACATTTTATAGAGAAGTTTTATGTTATTGTTGATATATCAAATACACTATTTATTTATATTTATTTTAATAAAAAACATTTTGTAATCATGAAGGTTTTGTTGAGTGTTAGCTTACTTTCACAGTGAGCTTCTAGTATGGTGAAGGATCTTTTGTCTGCCCATCCATCAACTCTAAACTGTAAGAAACTTGGTAATGATATTTGACCTGGAGGTAACTGGGTCAGAGACCAGTATATTCTCCTCACATGAACATAACCTTTTTGCATGGTCACAAGGGACAAATATGTTAAAAAAATTACAGAAAGTTCTCAGGTTCCAGAAGACCTAGAGTTATAACATTTTACCACAAGGTACCTAGGGTAGAGTGCTACAAAGTTTCTGTATATAAAAGACCTTGACTGATTCCCAAGGTCATAGGTGTCACTTATGTACATTAAGGAAACATTTGAGAACATTCTTCTCAAGTGCCAGGAAACCTAGGGTACTGATATTTGATCAGTAATTATCTAGGATTGAGTACTATAAAGCTTCCTTATATTAATGACCTTGGCCTATTTTTTGTCAGAGGGGTCAGTATCTTTAACAATATTTTCAAATTCCAATTGACCAAAAGCTGTAATATTATATTAACCACAAGGTACCTAGGATAGAGAACTACAAAGTTTCCTCGTATAAATGACCTTGAATTGTAAAGAAACATTTGAGAATGTAATAACTCAATTGCTAGAAGATCCAGGTTACTGATATTTGCCAAGTAGGTACCTGGAAATGATTCTACAGTTTCCGCATATAAATTACCATGACCTTTTTCAAGGTCACAAGAGGTCAAATATTTTAAAAACATTTAATCATCCTCTCATGTTCCAGTATATTCAGACTCCCAACATTTTACAACAAGGTACTAGAATGAATTACCTTGTCTTAGGGATTTCAGTTATCTGAGAATCCTCTTTCAGTTCCGGAAAACTAAAGCTACTGGTATTTGGAATAGAGTGCTGCAGAATTTCCCCGGCCATTTTTTAAGGTCAAAGATATATATGTGTAATACTTTAGAATCTTTTCAAGTTTCAGAATACTATTCCTGACAATTTTAAGTACACAGGGATCAAATTTGATAAAACAAAAAAAACAAAAACGAAAAACACACAAATAAACGTCTTCTTAAAAACCATAGTACCAATAATGATGATTGAAGTTCGAGGGAAGGGGGCATAATGTTTTTGGTCTGTTCGCCTTTCTGTATGTCTCTTTCCTTGTCCATCTGTCTGCCTGCCTAAAATGTCTCTGTTTGACATTTGAATCGAATAACGACTTTTTCATCAGATTTTAACCAAATTTTGAATGTTTCTTGATATCAATAAGATATCGGTTTGATGTTGGTGAAAATCCGTCAACAATCCTGAAAATGATTGAACTTTAACCGTAAGATTGGAATCAAATTTGGCATAATGTATATCAATAATATCTCGGATTAGTTCGATACTGATCAAAATCTGTAAAGTTGGAAGATGATTACCTGGTTCCTCCACATAATTTAATTAGAACCGAGTTTTGTTTTTTACCAAGACCTCAAATAAGTTATTTTTTACTGCTAGACTAGAACCGAATTTTGTATTCCTTAATATTACCGAGACCTCAAATAAGTTATTTTTACTGCTAGACTAGAACCGAATTTTGTTTTCCTTAATATTACCGAAACCTCAAGTTATTTTTACTGTTAGATTATGACCGTATATTGTATTCCTTAATATTACCGAGACCTCAAATAAGTTATTTTCACTGTAAGATTAGAACCGAATTTTGCATTCCTTAATATTACCGAGATCTCAAGTAGGTTGATATTTGGTCGAAACCCGTCAACATTTTACCAATATAGGAGACGCTGGGACTTTAATGATGAAAATAATAGTAAGACTCGGAGTAACACAACAAGTCTGGCTTTACTTTGGTTACGTTTTGCTTTCCTTGATTTATAGAGCCTATCTCAATACCAGTTAATATCTCATGAAAGTCAGCGACAACACGAGTTAATGGTCAACATTGGATGTTTTTAACAGGCCACGACATATGGTGTCTTAATCTAAGGGCACGTGTGAAAAGAACTGATACTGAAGAAGATTCTGTTTGATAATTGCTACACTAGAATTTAACACATTCAGTGTTTATGTACACTGCTAAATAGAAAGATAAAATATCAGAATAAATATTGTTGATGGTGATTGTTTAATGTATAGCCTCCAAAGACTAGCTCAATAGGTTCAAGGAACATACCAATTTTGAAGTGATTCCGTGAATTCGAGAATTTAAAAAAATAACTGAATTGAAATGATTGTCTTTGATTTATTTACAGAACTGTTTAAGCAATGTAATTATAAAATGAGATTTTACAATCACGATATCAAATTGGCTGATTCAACATCGATCCGAGACGAGGACATCATTATTCATCAGAGTGGTGAGTATGTTCACAACTTCAGCGTTGGTGTTTCCTTTGGAGTCCCTCCGTGGAAGATTAGATGAAGAATATCAATTATCAGCACAACTCCTGTGGTTCCATATAGAACTAAGGCTAGAATATTAACAGAGAGAGCCCAGGACAGTGACGATCCTCCGACAGTGAAGTTCGATCGGATGGTCACAGCAATAGCGATCTGTAGAAACACGGCTAAAACGAAAGGGAGGGCATGTTAGCGAAACAACGCAACTATTTATATTTAATTCAATTTGCTTTTATCATTGTTATTATCAAATGTTGTTGAAGATGGTATCGTACAGAATTGCTCATTTGCTGCCAAATGTCATACGATACTATTTTACATTATAAAATAATTTTTTGCAGTAGAAAAACTAAATTTAGGATGTACTCCGATATACATAATGACTTCAAACCCAACACTAGCGAACAGATCTAAAGGAATGCGTACTAATTAATTACAAAGACGAAATACCGACCTGACAGAAACGATAACACTATTATTACTATGTGTCGGGCCTTTCTTTGCTGCTGTTTGTAGTTCTGTGTAATGGCCGTCACCGTCAGAACGACAAAGCTGGTTAATCCGCTGACAACGGCGACCGTTTCTAACACCTGGGTACTGCGAAGCCAACCTAGAACATCCGACAGCTACTAGTAAGCTTTCGTTTTATAAAATTAATTGACAATGTCAAAGAATTTCAATGTTGCCGTGTACAGAATGCCTGGCCTTTCTGTTTGTCAGTGCATAGTTCTAAACGAATAACGAAAGATAGTCTGTTTCGTCACACGATATCTGTAAACGCTTGCAAAGCATTAAAATAACTGGAACAGAAGCACATCCCAGCAGATCTCGCTTTATTGTCTAAAGAATAGCTGTCCCTTGCTTAGGTCCAATAGTTGCACGACTGTTAAAAAGTAAGTGAATGACACTCTTATCCTGCTGTAAACGTGGTCGTCATGTCAATATTACTGATGTGGAATAAAAACCAATACAAATTAAACATTCATTAAAGATGTGAATACCGTAATCAGTTTGAATTTTAATTGACAGATGATTAAGCCACACAATGGCTATGTTTGACAACCTACCTGGAGGCGATGTTATGTCGTCACAAGATGTTCCCACACAGTTGAGCCATAATCCAAGATTCACACCTCCTTCACTTATAAACCAATATGGAGATGCAAAACTTATAATGTGTGTCACAAATCCCATTGCCAATGTACAAACAGCAGCCTTCAGGTAAAGGGATTGCTTCATAAACTGAGACATTTTAATTTGAAAATATCTGAACGAAATTCAAACAAATTTCACCATACAAGTAGAATCTGTTCCAGTTTCTAAACAAATTCATACTAATTTCTGTAATGCATTAAAATTGTTGTGAAAACTAACATTCACTGAGTGTCAATCTTGTTTACAAACATTCCTATTCGTTCGCTGTATTGAGAACAAATAAATTCAAAGTACGGGGCAGGACCGAACTGTTTTGACACCATGTCAATGAGGAGTTATCTTGTGCCTTATTCAACACAACGAAGATACAAACGTTTAAGTCCCCTACTTAATCTTTAAAAGTGAGCCGTATACCTCGAGATCAATTGAATCGTTTCACTGAATGCATTTTATCTAATCAACACACACTGGACATATTCACATCGCTAAACTCCGCGTTGGGCGAAATGGACACCCGAATAACACTGTTGGGACATCGATACATCCATCAATACCCTACCATAAATATGAATAGTTATACAAGGGTAAAAATGTACAAAAGCAAGATTACATTATCATGTTGAAATGTCCTATTTTCTTCTGTGTTATCAAATACGACGTGTTCGATGAATGCACTATAGGACAACCTGGACTGACAAAGCTCTGAAGCAGAGTTCTCCATTGGCGCGAACGATTCTATCATTGACAAGTTAACTTAGATTTATACTTAACTCTATTGAAGCTAGAATAGAACGAGACTTTACCGTTAGCAGTTTCTCGATTTCCTATTGGCTGGGTGTTCTGTGTAGAAGACGGTTAGGACCAGTGTACTGTGAAGTACAATGTATGTGATAAACTGCCAGATATTGTCGTGTGTTTTGAAAAGGAGAATAAAATTTTGATAAAATTTCTTCTTGATAAACTGTAGCCAAACAAACAGGCTTCTACACCAGATGTAAGATGTGATGCATCATGCGTGATTTGGTTGTTTACGCCATGTATGATTCTATAACTGACTAAAATTTTCACAATTAGATGATGAATTACGGAAGACAGATTTCCTTTGCTAAAAACATGTATGTCGTTCAATATATTGAGTTACAGCATAATTGTAAACTACTTTTGGCATGGCTGGGAAGAATATTGTCAAAACCAGACGATCTGTATAAGTACAGAAACTGGGGATGTTTTAATTAGCATGTACCCGAAGCAGACAATCGCCATTAAGTTTTTATACTCGGGCTAGACAAACAGAAGCTAAGGAACGATGTTATGAGATTCTAGTCTGATTGCATTCTGTTTGTTCTTTTCTTTTGTCTATATTTTTGTATTGCATCGGTGTTTTCACTTCAGTAGATCCATTCTGGTTTTTTTTTCAAATGTCTTTTTCATTCCAGGCTTATGACACGCGTATCTATAACTGTGAAGATCGCGTGATAACGGATACCCAGTTATACGTCATCATTATGCAAGTTCAGTGTGATAACACTTTATAAAAATGTTCCTTGTGGCTCCGTCACCTTTATCATCGTCATATTCTCAAGTATACCTTGAATTACCTCAGTAACTTGATATTCCATCTGTTTACCAAACGTGAAATCCCACACATAATCCGGCGGCATCGTAATATATGGGGTACTGTTTTACTATTTATTCCTTGATATCATCAATACATCCTATTTATCATAGTCGCCAATTCACGGTACTAATATTATTAATCAATCCTAACGATATCACCTATTCGTTACAATGGCATCACCCATTTATTACAGTGATATCACCTATTCATTACAATGGCACCGCCTATTTATTACAGTGATATCACCTATTCATTACAATGGCACCGCCTATTTATTACAGTGATATCACCTATTCATTTCAGTGATATCGTCTATTCATTACAGTCACCTATTCGACTTGAATTTGTGTTATAGTAATTAATTCAAGAATGATTAGTCAATTAATTAATATTTCTAATGACTTTCAATTTGGTGATATCACCAATTAAAACTGAATACCTCGAGACATTGACACTGACTGGTCTGTGTTCTTTGTCGAAGTTAAGTATAGCAGTGCTGTGCCGTGCCCGAGTGAATAGCTAGATATATATAGTATAACAGAAAAAAACGATGACTTTGTTTCTTTTCTCACTTCAGTTTGTTTAATAATGCTACTACTTTCACACAAAAAAATTAATTGATTTGGCAGCAGAGGATGAAGAAAAAAGACATCAATCTACATGGGTAATGCTAACAATGATTACTTTCCCCGCTGAATTTCATCGGTGTGTAGTTTGAAGACCTCAAATATACATACAAACATACATTGTGTAACATCAAGTGTATAGATTAGTTATATCTTCGTCATGTGCAAAATGTCACAAAATGTTGATGCAAAATTGAAAAGATTTACACCATGTATAGATTGATATAAGATCAAGTTCAATGCTGAAATCCACAAATAATGAACAGAACATAATAATCACAACAAGGAAAAATGTCATTTAGAAGTTAAATGCTGCTGCATGACATTAGAGACATGTTGTATACGTCTCTGGTAGCATATTGGTCCCAAGTGACCCGCGCCGTTGTTGTATATAGTTAAATAGGCATTTAGTTTGTAACGTACATATCGATTAATGATTTTAAAAAAAAATACCACGAATAATGGTGTAAGTATTTCAAGTATGATAGTTGGTTATAAAAAAAGGATAGGTACTCTTACGTGTCAAGAGAAACCTTTCACGTGTACAGGCACGTCGCTGTAAAATTTCATGACAAATGTTGAAACAATCCTCATGTCGTTAAATTCTTCTTCTCTTCTGATCTGATGCATTCAGAAACTAAAAATTCTTTTTAAAGCAAGTATACTCATTTATATAACAACTTCACATTAGAACAGAGATTGATACTGTCAGCAAGATGCGCTTGTCTTTTCTCTGTAGGCGTAGATTGCGGAATGAGGTAGGATTACCGTTTCTAAATTTACACAACCCAGTCATGGGCTTCCGGTTCAGCGCCTGCCCATAGAATATGTTTCGTGTTTGTGGATACATAAACAAACAGTTCTCGGCGTAACATGGATTGTTGACAGATTTGACAGTTCACAAAATGTCTTAAACAGGAACACTCTAGCGACAGGATGAGTGGAAGGGTCGGTGATCTCAGCGCTGTACAAGCCACTGCCCTACAAACAGTGAGTTGTTAATGTTAGTGACATCTGTCAAAATGGACTCAACTGAAATAGATTACGCTACAGATTATCAGAACAAAGTCCAATGCCATATTCAGTGACAATCTTCAGATCAGTACGCCTGCTGTTTTTAATCTGGTTACAATAAATTTATATGTTTTGATAAACCTGTCCATTATCACGAACACAATATAGGACACCGTTCGTTTTTTTTATGTCAATGCAAACAAAAAAATAATGTGTGCTTACAGTGCCTTTACTGCAGAGATGTATAATTAGTGTTCAACAGACTAATCTTTTTAACTTCGCTCACTGTTGAAGGAAATTCCTTCACACTGCCTCACTAACCTTCTTAACTACACAAAATGCATCAGTTCCTTCTCGACACTCTCTTCAGGATCACCAAAATAAGTTTTTCGCTGAAAATGTGACCACCTGTTCATGATAACCCATCACAACAACTGTAAACTTTCACTCACTATGTCAAAATTTCCAGACACACTTAGAATAGCACAAGTCAGGCCACTATATAAAAAGAACAGTACATTACATTAGACAAAAAAAGTCATAGACCAGTAAACATACTACCAGCACATTCCAAGGTCTTTGAGAGATCCATGCACACACAGCTCAGTGACTTCTTTAAAAATATTTTTCACCACTACCTGTCAGCATTAAGAGCTGGGTATGGGTGTCAAACTGCTTTACTCTGAAAACATCTCTACAAACAGATAGCAATATACCCATACGCAGATTTGCAAACAACCACATGTAAGCAAATTGAGATAAATTTCAGGCCATTGATATTGGGGAAAAAACACAAAACATTATATTTCGATTTGGAAACACAATCAAATGCAATCCAGAAGTCAAATTGCTAGTGGTCACAATAGAATTTTAGTTAAATGTTCACACACACACCTCAAACATCTGTAAAAAAGTATCTAAACAACTAAATGTACTCTTACAAATTGGAAAACACTTGAACAGATTAGGTAAACTCACTCGCTATCACTCTGTCATCTTATCAAATTCCAACTTCCGTCCACTCACATGATTGTTGCAAAACTAACACCTAAAAAACTGAAAACATTCCAGAAAGGGCATTCTCGTTTATTTACAATGACTGTGACAGCACATACCAAATTTTACTCCCCCTGTTAAAAATTACCTACACTCAAAATCAGACGCCTCAGAAGTTCTGCAATAGAAGTATACAAGTTCACACACAAACACACACCCACCTACCTGCATGATCTTCTCCACATTACAGAAAAATCCTACACATTCTGTTACCACAACACAGCAGATATATATACCTCATGTTATAACTACAACATACAGAAAACAATCTTTCAGATCACAGGCACCAAAAACATGGAATTCCCTGCCAGACCACTTCAGAATAACAAACACACTTGTACAATTTGAAACACTCATAAACAGCTTGTACGGGCCAAAATGCTGATGCAACACATGTCGGTAGAGTATGTAATACACCCAAGAACAGTATATCTGAACATTTTATTAGCTGTATTGTATGTCTTACTTAATGAAACTGTGCATGTCTTTTAATGTTATATGTGTCGGTTTTGATAGCTCATAAGAGCTTATGTTTTACTTTTGTTCTCGCACCGACTTTAAATAAAACTTTGAATCAAATTGAATGAAAATGAAGATAGTATGCATTGCAAGCTGCCAGCAAACAAATGGTTATGAACACAATACTTCAAGTAATATAAGAGGTAAAAAATGCACTAGATTGGGGATGAAATTTAGGATCTTCATTAGAGTAGCATCTTGGATTTTTATTTTATCTTTTTCATTATTATTAATATTATTTGTTTTACAGTTCAAAGAAAATATTAAAGATGTCCTGAAACCAAGCCATGATGATTACTACCTGCTCTGCTGGCTCAGAGGTATAGTACCTGGTGTATGTACCTGGAGAGATCATCAAGATACATGTAGTTGTACTGTGCCATTGATAATACATCGTGAACTGAAACAAAAACATTAAGAAAATACCACCATGTAAATGAAGTCTTCATTCAAACTCAAATTTGACAAAATAAGTATAAAATACCTGTGAACAGAAAGAGAGACCATAGAAAGTCTGTGTATATCTAAGCATATGTTACATGTTGAAAGCTTGAAAATAACTCCAGGTTTTATGTTCATGATTATTGCTTTTCATCAAATTCTTTACTAGCATTTTTTTTATTGTTCTATTTGCTCATGCAGCCAGGAATTTTGATCTCAAGAAGTCGGAAGAAATGTTTAGAAATGTAAGTTCCTTATAAGTTTATGTAATATGCATGATATCCCTTTATGGTAATCATCATTTAAATTCAGTGAAACACCACTGAATGTCTCAGTCATTTCAGAAGTTTAGGCACTGAAATTACAGTGTCATAAATGTAGTCAGAAGTAAATATACATTAAAATTTTATGCTGTATAGATGCAACATGTACGCATGGATACAAATTTTCGTATCACATTTTCACATTTTCAAATGTCATTGTGATCTACAAATAATAGATGAGATATGTTTTTTTGTCTTTAATTATGTTTTGATTTGATGCTTGTCAATAATGAACAGGACGTTAGTTGGAGAAAGAAAACAGGTGCAGACACAATCCTAGAAAGCTATATGATTCCAGAGATCGTCAGTAAGTACCTAACAGGGGGACATTGTGGCTATGACAAGTTAGGCAACCCCATCTGGATTGACCCATTTGGAAGGATTGACATTAAGGGTAAGATTTTGTTTATTTCAGTAGCCTTAAATGCAATTATTCTTCTCTTATCATAGTGTTACCTTTTGTTCGTGTTAATTTCAACACAGTATCAAGGATGGTGATACTGTTAAAATTTTGAAAATTACAATTTTTAAGTTGTGAAATCATATCCAATCATTTATGAGGAATAAAATATTTGACTTTATGTTACAGGTATCTTGCGGTCTGTCAAGAAATCAGATGTAATTAAGACTCAGGTGCATCGCTTTGAAAAACTGAGAGATGTTCACATAGAACAGACAGAAAAAGTGAGCAATTTTTGTTCCATTGGGCACATTACATAGTTTTAGCTCATTAACATGAAGGACCTAAATTAAAGTTTACAGATAAGAGAAATGTCTGACATACAAACTCATTGAGCCTCACTTCTTAAAGAAAGAAGTTAGTGTGTACATCCATGTTGATTTTTGTGTTGTTTATCATATAAGGGCTGTGTAAGCTCAGGCATTTGGCCATCATACCTTTCAACCTCAAGTGAAGACCCAATGTGTGTGGTTCAATCCTAACTCAGGGCAGGTTTGTGGTTCTCTTAAGGGCAGGTTTGTGTTTCTCAGTGATGATCTTGGTTGTGTGGTTTGATCTGTCTCCATACATATGTAATAACCATGAACACCAGGAGACCAAACCACAAATTACAACATGTAGATTTTGATGTAACAAAAATATTTTCTCTCTCGCTTTTCCCACCCCTAAGAAATAGAAAAAAACCTTAAGGACTATGTGCAGAAGTGAATTCAGTGTAGATATTGTTGGATTTCAATCATTTTAAGCTGGATTTCTTTGCTTGTTTGTCAGCTTGGACACAAAGTGGATGAGGTAATAGTGATCTATGACCTTGAATACCTCGGAATGAAACATCTATGGAAGCCTGGAGTGGACGTATTTTGTGAAATCGTTGATATGTTTGAGTGGCACTACCCGGAAACTCTCAAGCTTGTCTTCGTTATCAATGGTAATATTTCTCAGATTAACATTTCAGACTCGCATTTAAACTTCTTATGTCATAGAAATATAGGAATCTTGCAAAAATCTGTCGTAGGAAATAGACGATATTTACAATATGATCATATACACATATTGACATTTGGTTCCAATAATTGGTAATATTTCACATTTTTTCACTGGTCTGTCTTAGTCTTTATTTTGTTTAATAATGATACATGTACTCAAATGTCTGTAAGCAAACAGGATACAGTATTCAGCATACTACTACCCTATATCACCATAACTGATAACTCCTTTTGAGATACAGTGAGATAAATTATCTTTAAATCTTTATAAAGAGATGTAAATTCATCTGGTGCCATTGTTCAGATGCGTACATGAAGTTTAGAAAATATGATGTACTTATTGAGAAATCGTTACAATGATCACATTTTGATTCATATTTCAGCTCCAAGATTTTTTCCAATAGCCTACAATATTGTCAAACCATTTTTGTCTGAAGCCACTGCAAGTAAAGTCCGAATATTTGGAACAAGTGAGTAAATGTTTACTTTATATAAGTATAGTTTAAATCTGTCTCCTGGACACTGGTATCAGCTTTTTCCAATATACTAAAATGTGACTAAGGGTTATGACTTGTTGATGTAACTGATATTTCACAACAAATATTCTCTGACATCATGCTCAGATATTTTCATGCTAAAATATCAAATGGTAGTGAAAGAATAGATAGCCTTTTGGTGATGTAGACATTCCTATGCTTCATGTTCCAAAAGCTGTATGACAAGTTTATCCTCTTGCCTACTGCCTGTGTTTTCTTCACCGATCAAACTCTCCCGACAACTCTTTATGATGCCAAAATTTCAGTTCACCTATGGTGGCAGCACTGTGCAATGTATTGAGCGTGTTATTTTTAGATATTTTAATTAATTCAACAAATTTCTACTTTTAAGTTACTCATGAACCAGTAAAAACGTTGTCATTTTAACAGGTAATTACTCCAGTGCTCTACTACAGTACATAGATGCTGACCAGTTACCAAAAGTATATGGTGGCACCAGGACCGATCCTCCTGGAGACCCACGCTGTAGTGCTCTGGTAGGTTTTGTGGTTTTGAATAAAGCATTAAAGCCTAAAGCTTAGAACTGTTACTCTTTATAAAAAATCATTGACTAATTTAGTAATAGATTTTAGATTTTACCTGTACAGGTGTTTACATTAGGTTTACCTGTACAGGTGTTTACATTAAGTTTACCTGTACAGGTGTTTACATTAGGTTTACCTGTACAGGTGTTTACATTAGGTTTACCTGTACTGCTGTCTCAGTACTTAATACTTCATGTACCTGATAACATTTACTTCTTCTTTACCTGTACAGGTGTGTCAAGGAGGAGATGTGCCAAAAGATTTCTACTCTAAAGTCAGTATTAATTCACTTGACATGGAGAAGTACACTGCGGTTACTATAGGTCGGGGGTCCTCCATACAAGTAGACTTGACGGTGAATGAACCAGATAGTGCCATCAGGTAAATATTCTATATACCTTTGATTTACTGTTTGTTACCTAAAGCCATTGTTAATTTTTTTATGTTTCTTGAAATTCAAATCCAAGAGAAAACCTCTTCCTTCTGTTATGCTTTTCATATATAATTGAAATGCAATAATTGCCAAAAATACTTTTTGATGGTGAATTGCTGTTATTTAAATTAGAAATCAATTAAATAAATAGATAAATTAGCTCAATTCCTGGAATATTTCTTTCTGATAAATAGATTTTTCTTAATTAGTTTATCTGAGGAAGTAGTCTTGCCACAAATAAGTATACCAGGTATCACCAATAGCCACAAATAAGTATACCAGGTATCACCAATAGCTTCACACTGTGTTGATAACAACTATCTACTGGTGTTAGTTCATCATCAAACTGAATCTTCGTATCATTCCACCATGCTGTAAAATTAGATACAAATATGTTAAGGAAAAGCACTGTTATGGACAAGTATCTGACAATTGGAGAGAGTGAATAATCTGAAGAAGACAGAGGAGATGTCTGGACCTTTGTTAAGGTGTATATCAACTTATTTAATGACAGGTGGCAGTTTATCACTGAAGGATATGACCTGGGGTTTGGAGTGTACAAGCGGACCAAGGACAGCAGACAGAAGGCAAACGACATGGAACAAGTGATCCCATCTCAACGTGTCAACAGCCACATTTTCCCTGAGGACGGTAGTGTCATCATCCAAGAACCTGGCACATGTAAATCTAATCTTATGTTGCTCTTTTTTTATTTTGGATATTAATAGTTTTCTTGTTATTACTTTAAATCACACAGTATATTAGGAAATTGGCATCATAGTTTAATTTTTGCAGATATTGCTGGTAGTTTTTTTTATCTGCAAAAATTAAACGATAAAAAATTAACTAATGAAAAATAATATATCAAAACAAGAAAAAAATTCACAACTTTGTTATCGTTTTTACGTTTACCATAAATCTGACATTTGAACACTTAGAAATAAGTCATTTTTGGGGAAAATCCTTCTCATTATATAATTACTTCAAAGTTGTATCAATATTTTCTCTGAAAGGAATAAAATTGGACAGTTTATATCTTTCTTCATATCAAGTTATATCAAAACTTTCATCTGATTAAGAAAAAAAAAGTAAAAAAAATTCTATCTGAGTTAATGCCTTACAAAGTTATTGATGTTTTTGATAAACTAGGCAGGATACATAGTCACAAGTATTTTCAGAAAATTCTTTATCAGATACAGAACTTTGAAATTTTGTATTTTTATTTCATTTTCAGATGTTGTGAGATTTGATAATACCTACAGCTGGACAAGAAGTAAGAAGATTTATTATATTATAGAGATGTTAGAACCGGACACAGAAGATGAGTTTGAGCTGGCTAGTGAAAGTCCTACTGGGTGTTAACCCATGGTGATATTTAGAAGTAGATACATATCTGATATGGCAGTGCTAACAGACGTTTCTTCAAATGTAACTAACCTTTTGTGATAATCTACAGGAACAAGTCCCACCATGGGTTACTAACCCCATGTAATAGGTATGATAGTTTTAGAATTAATCAGATATATGATGTGAATTTGAGACGGCTGTTTTGTCTCTGTGATGAGAGATTTAAGCATAAGCTTGCCAGGTTGCTACCGTGATACATGTCACTTTGTAATAATACTTAAAAGCTACAGTCAATATTAGCTTCAGACAAGTTGAAATTACTACCATTTAGTGCCAATATTTTAAAGATGAAATATTCATTTGCAAATATATCAAATGGTGTTATTTATTTATTTATTTGTTGTTGTCATTACTTTTAACGTAACAGTGTAAATAATTAGGATTTTCAATATTCCTATTCCTAATGTTAAAATTTGTATTCAATCACAAGAGATAGATGGGGTAATAATCAAACAGACCAAATATTACTCTGAGATACCTGTTTACCTGTTACTGGTAGCATCAGATTTGACAGTGTGCAATAATAGAATTAATCAGGTCCTGACATTTTGAAAACAAGGGTATTACTGTTACAGAAATGAAAACTGATATAAATAATTGATACTTATGTTTTATCAAGATGATGTTTTGAATACTTAAATTTTGATATTGTTGATGGAAGATTCAGGCATATTTAAGGATATATAACTTACGTTTGGCTAACACCATTGAAGTAAATTAGTAACAACTGTGTAAGATCAGATATCAGGGGTTTTAGTGAAACGTCCTTTCCATCCGTTGTGTATACTGAAGTCTTACAGTACTTAAAATAAGAGAGTATTATCTGTGTGAGAGTTTAATCAAATAAATTTTTTAAATATACGGAGGATAAATTTTTATTTTGATTTCAACATTTAATTTTTTTTCACCGTTTATTTTGTCTTTTCTTTTCATTCACATAAAAACAGAAAGAGAAAATGAAATTAATCAGAGACATATAAGAAATAAGCATTTTATGTTTCTAATTCATTTTTTTTATACTTAATACTCTTTTAGATTTCATCATCAGTTCAGTAACCAATTGATATATAATTCTTGCATTGTCTTGCTATTTTAGCTTCAACATGAAGGCCAAATCTAATTCTATTACAGCATGTCACTCTGCAAACTCCGTGAAATCCATGTAATATCACAGCTATTTCTTTTATTCTTTTATTGTAATTTGTATGTATCATTTAACAAAACCATTAAGCATTTTTTTATCTGTCAAAACCAATAAATGAATTTACCTGGTACTACATATAGAAAATGTACAAGTGATTGGCTTATCTTATAAGTTGATATATATATATATATACATATATAGTGATTTACTTATTATGTTTTTATTAACTTTCTGATAATATTTAAACATTATTCAGTGCGTCTTTTTGACAAAAATCTGAACTGTTATTATTACACCATATAGAAAAAGTATACTGTTGTTTATTGATATATCTTAGTGTATAGTAAAACCTCAGAAAAAGGATTGGTCATTTGGCAGCAAAATTGAAAATAGAAAATAATATGATTAATAAGACAATTTTTTAAGAATTAAATCCAGGATTTTGATTCACGATCCTGAGTTTTTATTCCTGTAAAAATCTGTAACATTATTTATTGTACATGAACATCTCAGGACAGAACATTTTATATATCACATTATCACATTTTTTGTTTTTATTCTGCATTTTCGTTTGTCGAGACACAGTCACGTGTTCTACGATTTTTAATGATATTGCACTGTAAACCAGATAATTTATCATATTGCGCTTCTTTTTTTTTATTTCTGTTTATGTCATGCATCCTTTTAAATCCGTCAAAAAAATTTTTCTTCACCTCCAAAATTTGTGATTGTAAAGAGTTCATTGGGATCTTCAGGATTTCTTTAATGCTTGTTGAATATGAGATGGATGGCTACAAAAATTCAAATAAAAAAGTAATGAAACCATTAGTGCATTATAATTAGTTCAATATGAGAATATATGGAGTACAAAAAGAAATACTGAATCAGTGCAGTTATTGTAAAAATATTGATTCTGGAAATTTAACAAGTGATTAAATAAGTTAATCATGATTGTATTTAAAATCACTGGAAATTCGTAATTTTTTCAATCAATATTCTACAAGAAGTAGAAAAGGATTAGACATTAGAACTGATTATGTATGTACTGAAGTATACTCCAAGAAAATGTTGATGAATTTACACACCAAATTCCACGATACATTGTGTATGTTGCCATATATATTGTTGATGATTTGTTTATGATTTGTGTAAGTATTTTGTTCCTATCACCGTCTACATCCAACTACACCTTGTGTTCCAAGCACCACTTCCTGCCTCAACATTTCAACCTATTATACGTGTAGGAATTCAATGTTTTTTACATTAAGGAGAACTGTGTTTATTTTTTGATGTTCAGAATTGTCATTTTACCTGGTGAAACGATGATGTTTATAAAGCGTGTATTAATCACTGTTAATACAGCATTTACTGTAAGTTACTATGTCAGATACAGTATTATAGATGTAGTAAACAAATCATAGCTGAATACAATGAAATGTTGTTGTTACCCGGTTTTATTCTACAATTTTCATAAGAAAAGTGAATTTATGCTGTACTGTGGTGACTATTTTTTCTCTAAATGTTGCTACTAGTAACTTTTAGAGAAAGACTTAGCAGATTTTGACCAATTTTGGTCAGAAGCATCCATTGGAGAAGTGGAACAAATTTTGTGTGAATGTTGGGTTTTAGCCCCAAGGGACCTATTGGGCAGGGCTTAAAGAGTAAATTTTGTTCTTTAAAATCCTTCTTCTGAAGAAATGCCTTTATCTGTCCCAGTTTAGTATGAAGCATCCTTGGTTGAAAGTGAATAAGTTTTGTATAAACGATGGATCTCGGCTCACTGAAGCAGGAAGGTTGAGTCAATAGGGAAATAGAACAAATCATTTAATATCTATTACGAACGCATAGATTCTGTCCTAATTTGGTCTAAAGCCTTGTTGGGAGGAGAGAATTTTTGTATACAAAGTGGGTCTCTACCCAATGGGAGGGATGGGGTTAAATAGGGGGAATAGAGGCAGACCTTTAAAATCATTCTTTTGTAGGAATGCCAAGATTTTGTCCCAATTTGTGCTGAAGCATGCTTGGGTGAAGGACACTTTTTTATAAATGGTTTGGCTGACCCCTTAGGGGCAGTTGGGTGGAGCCAAATGGGGAAACCTTTTGAAATTCTTTGGTTTTGTTTGGATGAAGCAAATTTCTGCCAAACAAAGTCAGATGAGCAATACAGGCCATATGGGCCTCTTATTTATATAGAGTTTTATGAAAATGAAATTGAAAAATATTGAGAAATGATCATTGACTTGGTAGGAAATATACTTACATGATGGTATGTACCAAACAGACTGTAACTTTGTATAAACAATGTCTTTGCTAAATCTTGTCTGTCGTGGGTTTTTGGTGTTTTTACCAGATGGTTGGGGACCAAACTGACTTTATGTCCAGCAATAAGAGTGTTGTGAGTCCCTCAATGCCTGTTACCATAGAAATGTGAAGTGTGTGTTATTTTCAGCTCTAACAGTGATGATATGTATGTGAAACAAGAGCTACAATAGTGCTAACTATAGGAACCATAGTTCATTGTCAGATGTAACAATATTGGTGTGAAAAAGAGCTATAATTGTGCCAACTATAGGAACCATAGTTCATTGTTAGATGTAACAATATTGACGTCATAGTGATGTGAAAAAGAGCTATAATTGTGTTAAATACAGGAACCATAGTTCATTGTCAGATTTAATAGTAATGGTATGAAACAAGACCTATAATTGTGCTTACTACAGGAACCATAGTTCATTGTCAGATGTAACAGTATTGGTGTGAAACAAGTGCTATAATTGTGTTAACTACAGGAACCATAGTTCATTGTCAGATGTAACAGTATTGACATCTACAGTTGTATCCACCATTATGTATAACTATAGGAACCTTAGCTCAATGTCAGGTTGATTTATCATTCATGTTCCTTATATCATAGATCATAGAATCGGATATATAGAGACCATTTCCGTGACCTCACAGCAGATTATGTAAACATTTCTGTTATTATGAGGTAACAGAAGCTCCATAGCCTATGATAATTAAAAATGTATGTTGATTTGCGATGAACTTTGGTTCCAGCTGGCTGTTAAGTGTTTATGAAATCTCAGATGATCAGTTGTTAAGCAAGATGTCAAGCCTTTGACCAGAGTTTGACATGTTTGTTATATGGTATTTGCTTATAGTTGTTAAAGTGCCTAGCCTAGCAGTATTTGTGGTATTTAGTGCCAATTTTGTTGTTACCATTGCTCAAATTGGTGTAAATGCTGGCTAATGTTGTCTGCAGATATATGGTGGTAAGGTTAAATATGTTATTATGTTGAAGTTTCTAACCACTTTGATATCAATAGAAGGGCAAGATCTTGTTGAGATAAACATTCACTGAGTAAAATTACACATAATATTAAAATGTTTTATCTAAATACATCCGCTGATCTCGTATCCAAATTAATGTAAAATTTATTTATTTGTGTTGCTCAGTCTGTAAACAAATAGAAATATTATATATATATTTTTTAAATGATTCTTTCAGATACAAAATTAAACCAACATTAATCTATTATAATATTATAATGATGATATGAAGTTCAGAGCTGCAGATGAATTACTGTGTTAGTTGTGAATGAATCTGTTATCTCCCATCAGAGTGTGGATCTTGCCACGGTAGTCAATACTTAATTTAGTGTATTATCACTCTGTATATGCCTACAATGCACGATCAATATAAATTATTGATGTTTTAACATAGATATCATTTTTGGTTTCCAAAAAATAAAAAAAACTTTTTTGTTTAAGTTTTTTTTATGATAAAATCTAAAAATGATTTACTCAGAAATGCACATGATGGCTACATAGATATCACTTTTCGTAAGTATACTTGAAACAAAAAATGATCTATATAATTAGGTACACAGTATCATTGACAGAAGTACCTATATATAGATATATGATAAATTGTAATATAAGATAAAGAGTGCATCAAGTTAGGGCATCTTATTGGCATCATGTTTATAATTAGTTATGGTACATATAAAACAGATGAATTGCCACGAAGCAATTCTCCGTTTTAGCCGTGATGCTGAAGATGTTTTCCTTGACATTGGTAACAATTGCCTTCATTTTGTCTCTCAGTTTCTGTTGGAAAATGCTAAATAACAGTAAAAATAGGAACTCGTCATTAATTTTCCTTACTACAACATGTGTTGTGTACTGATGGGATTACCATTTTGATCAAAATACCCAAAATTAAGGTATTAGTGTGATAATGGAGAGAAAACAAGAGAATACGGAGATATATCATTTGAAAAAATCTAATAGCAAATAATTTTAATTCTCTATACGATTTATTTATTTTGAACATTTTAGTATCTCTTTGGTATTCTTGTATTGTTTCGAATATTGATATAGAAATCCAGGGGTAGAGCCAACACCGTAAATTCTTATTGAGGTTCCGTTGGTTATTTATATCCCTTGCCCCGATACCACCCGGTATGCAGGGCGATTGAAGAATAGGGGAAACTAAGTATATAAGTCAATTGCAACAGGTTCGGGATAAGTTGAATTTTTATTAGTGTGAAACATCTACCGGTTTCGCTCGAACAATGGACTTCTTCAGGGTCCCGAAGAAGCCCACTGTTCGGGCGAAACTGGTAGACGTTTCACACTAATAAAAAATCAACTTATCCCGAACCTGTTGCGATTGACTTAAATATTGATATAAATGTACTACATAATGTTGATGTAGAAGTACATAATGTAAGTTACAGTGAATGTGGAAAATTATGTACAATGCGATCAATAGTATACAAAATACAAATGTACATACCTTCTATCATAGCTCTGTGTTACTGTAGACATGGAAATTTATGCCAGGGGGAAATTAACGCTAACTACAGGAAGGTTGTTGCATCGCAAAAATTTCCTCTATGCGTAATATTTTGTGAAATGCTTAAATTCTATAGACAAAGTCAAATGAAAATTAATTGCGAAATTAACCCCTTGCAAAAATTTCCATGGTTACAGTATTTGACAAATATTATTTTTCATGATTCTTCATCTAGAAAAAATTTGAATCGATTAAACTTTGAGCAAAAGACGCCCTTGACTGGATAGTAGATACATGTATGATGTCTAGATTACAACTTAATTATGTTGGCGATATGTTTACTTTGAATATACTTTTATTACTTTGCATTCCATTATTTATTTTTTCTCTTTTATTTCCTTTTTGTTATAACTGTCTCAATGTTTTAATATATATCGTCTGAAACTGAAGACTTAACCCACAGCTACCATTTCTTCAGTCGGTGTTATCTACCCTGGCGACCAGTTTTTATGTGATATTAACAGTTCCAAGGATGTGCAGTTTTGAAAAGTGCTAACTTGACACCACTAATAAATTGCTCTTTACATTAGAAAATCAAACACAAACCATTGTAATGAAGGCATATAGAACATATAGATAACAAGGTGGTCTAAATCAAAAGATTTTTTTGTGATGTAATGCCTTGTCTTTTATTGAAGTTGAATGTTGAATTTTTTCTTTTGTTTGAAATATGAAATATATAGAACATGTACCTTGCCATCTTAGTGCAAGGTCATTGGCCATGTCCAGTGAAATTCAACATTTTCATCCTAATGCATAGCTAGACTAAATTAGTTAAAATGACAATGGATAACTGAAGTACTGTGTTGTTATGTATTGTTAAATGTTAGTATGTAATTAACACTACTGTTAGTATGTAATTAACACTACTGTTATTATGTAATTAACACTACTGTTAGTATGTAATTAACACTACTGTTATTATGTAATTAACACTACTGTTAGTATGTAATTATGTAATTAACACTACTGTTAGCATGTAATTAACACTACTGTTAGTATGTAATTATGTAATTAAAACTACTGTTAGTATGTAATTATGTAATTAACACTACTGTTATGATGTAATTATGTAATTAACACTACTGTTAGTATGTAATTAACACTACTGTTAGTATGTAATTAACACTACTGTTAGTATGTAATTAACACTACTGTTAGTATGTAATTAACACATTGTTTTATGTAGCCATTGTTTTGATTGTATTGTTATTGTTTGCGATTTTGTGGTAAGTAGTAAAATAGTAATAGTATAATTTATAACACACTGTGTTTTGTAAACAATCCTATAGAATTGTGTTCAGAATATTTAGGATTTACTTCCGGACTACATTAAAAATATTTAAGAGATGAGATGTGAAAAAAAACAAAGCAATCAGTGATGAGGCATTCTCATTCCACACTGCCATTAGAGAACAGTTTGATTATCTCTGATAAGTTTGAATTCATTTGTATACAATATGCACTTGAATATTTAAATGTAGAATGAATAAAAGACTGAATGAACCCACATCAGGAACATATTTACCAGTACAAGAAAATAACGGGGAAACTGGAGGTATTTTATAATGCTGATAGTGAATGATTTAGAGAGAAAATGATTTGAAGACATTTTGTTATGTTTTAATACAATGCAGCTTTTACTGTTATAGAGGTGTAACTTGATGTTAAGGAGTGGATTTATCACAGGTTTTATCAGTTGTCTTAAAAGGGTTCAAATATAATATAACAGATTTCAATGAAAATGGAACTTTTAATTAAAGGGATGCAGCTTGTGTTCCAATTACCATAATATGTTGATATTGTAAAATCTTACTTGAATCACGTATTTTTAAACGTGAATGTCTAATATTTGGCTGTGACTTGTGATGTGTATGTGTTGGAGAGGATACTAAATTAATTTTTGTGTGTTTGAGTATGAAAATCGATGACGACATAAAGCAATAACTAGTCTGTTGATTTATGTATAAATTGCTTAATTTAATTTTTTTTAGAATTTACATCGTTTGGTCAATAACATGAAAATGATATTAAATTTCGGAATATTGTTTAATAATTGATTTTTGTCCCTCTAATACTTTTACACATAAATTATGATACTCCCTGTTGCTGTTCTAACTACAGACAACATCCTCAGTATACTTACCTGTAATTATTAGGCCGATCGTCTGTTTAACTCTTCATGTTTGACCTCTGAGCTGTAGGTATAGAAAGAACAACACTAAATTATGTAATCATCGAAAATGAATACTTTGATTTAAATAAAAAGGAATGCTTTATTTTACACGAAGTGGCTTGTTTTTTGTTGTCTCCTTTATGATAGAGATCAGATTTGATAAAATACTATATGTTTCGATAAAATTCCTCATGTTCAGTGTTAAAGTTCGATATTCCTCTGTTCTATTTACAGTTTTAGAGGGTTTTTCTTAAAGGCACTCACGTAGCTTTGCTCTCTCCTATAGATGATTACCTTACATCAATATATGATATTAATAAACAACAAGAAAACAACATGTCAACGTCATCATTATCCCAAATTTCAATAAAACTAGGGCAAAATATGAACAAAAGACAGATATACACGGAGAAAAGTTCAAAGGAGTATGACCAGGTGTTCCAGAAGAGTAAACGTATTCTGCTTCACCGACGACACCCGCAATGTAAACCTTGGTCAATCCAAGTAAATAATGACAAATGAGAACAAGGTATAGAACAGTTGCCCAACTTCATATCGCAATTCTCAATAAGATCACTATGACGAACGTAAAACTTCCTCATAATTTTCACCAATCTGCATCTTTTGAAACCCTGAATTTGTCCGTCAAATGACGAAAATCGCGATGATGAGAAAAGGCCCTTGAATATTGAATGAACACATTTTGAAATCAAATATCACCAAACGCTTGACATACCCGTCAGTTGATCGATTTGAGAGAAACTCTCCTAGTGCACTCGGCAGAAGGCAGTAACTTAAGAGCAGGTAGCGTCTAAAAGTTACCATTTATTAAAGGTAGAACGTTTTTGCTATAACACCGGTATGAATGGTTCTGTATAACTGTTTAGGTATACATAGGTTATATATACCCAAGTCATATATCAGTCGATTAGACCCGGTGATCTCTATATAGTGCCATGGTTCGGTGGAGATCACACCAGGACGATCAGTTGTCGTTGGGGAGGTAGTATATTGAAATATTCTTGTATTTGTGGTGAAGAAATACAATATCAGTAAGACAGGTGTCGAAATTTGAACATGTGACAGACGAGAGAAATCAATATTGTCGGTAAGTGAACCCGCTGAACGAGTTGTGTAAATATAAATGGACAGTATTCATACGTGTCTAATCAGAGCTGTAACGACGATTTAACCTAATGTCGATGTTACAATATGTTATAATTCTGACAGCGGTTGTAAAAAAAGAATATCACGTTAAGTTGCCATGTCTGACTGTTTATACCTTAGTAACGTTAACGTTAGGCTTAATCCCCGCATTGTCAGCTTCGTCATATTTCGTTAAGGTTGATTAACATCAAGAGAGTTTTTTAAGTGTGCGACATTTGTTAAGCATATTTCTACTTGTCTAATGTAGGCCAGGGCACGTGATGTTAGTATTGACATGACTAAGCGTTAGGTTTCACTTAACCTCCATCTCATTGCAGACCAAAATGGGGGATCTGGGCACGCCGGAGGACAGCGTTATTCCTAAAACAGACTTAGGGAAGGGAGTCTTGGAACCTGTTCCCTTAACTCCCGAACAGGAGCTGGCCCTTGCTACGGTAACGTGCACCTTTATGTAAACGTGTAAATGATTAGCCACTCATGCATGCAATTAAGACCCTATTTATAGTGCTTTACTACGTAGTTAGTTGTTTCATGCATCGTTGGTTTTAAGTCTAACAAAACAAGTTATCGCGTAGGAAAAATATCGTTTGTTTGTTCTGTCAGTCCATTTAATGGTGGCTGAATAAAATTTCTATCAAATTGTCACTGGATAAATGTTTGGATCGAAGGTGATTCAGATCAGAAGATAACCGAAACTAACCATTTCTTCCTTCTTATACAAGGTATTTCATGTGTGTAAGATATTGTGCATTTACATATTACTATGAGTAATTTTGTCTTCTGTACAATCTATAGTTTTACACTGCTGATTATAGATATATGACCAGAAAGTTATTTTTGCATTTTTTAAAAACTATTTTACTAAGACAATGATACTGACATATCAACAGAATCTAAACTTAAAATGAAGTTCGATGAAACTAGGACAAAATAGGAAGAATTACACAGAGAGCCAGGGAAAAGTGCAAGGAAATTAAGATCAGGTACACCTGTCATGTAACTCTCGGTCAATGCAAATATGTCTTTTTCTCATATAAGGAAAAGGCACCAACGGACCAGTCTGGCATACTATCTTGAATCAAACACATAAATAAGGAATATTTCTTTTCTTACTGAAATCGTCAAAACCGTCATTAACTGTACACTGTAGGAGACATTAACTGTACCCTGTATGAGGCATTAACTGTACCTTGTCGGAGGCATTAACTGTACACTGTAGGAGACATTAACTGTACCCTGTGGGAGGCATTAACTGTAACCGGTAGGAGGCATTAACTGTGCCCTGTAGAAGTCATTAGCTGTACCCTGTATGAGGCATTAACTGTACCCTGTGGAAGTCATTAACTGTACCCTGTAGAAGGCATTAACTGTACCCTGTAGGAGGCATTAATTGTACCCTGTATGAGGCATTAACTGTACCCTGTGGGAGGCATTAACTGTAACCTGTAGGAGGCATTAACTGTGCCCTGTAGAAGTCATTAGCTGTACCCTGTATAAGTCATTAGCTGTACCCTGTAGAAGTCATTAACTGTACCCTGTAGGAGGCATTAACTGTACCCTGTAGGTACAGCATTCCTTGGTACCCTGAAGATCTCATCTTCGTGCTTCTGATGAACTGTCGCAGTAAATGTGAGAGGATAGGCATAAAAACAGAATGAGCGTAGGATTAACAATTTGTATCGTTACCTGATCTTTAGGACTGTCAAGTCTAGCCGTTCTAGTTTCGGTAGACATGAGGAGCAGTTAGGAGCAAATAAGATGAACAAGGATCAGATCGATCTGTAAAATGATGGAGTCATCAGTCGAAAACGTAGATAAGATTATGTTTCAACTTGAATGTGGCCATTTTGAATAATTGTACAAACGATTTTTATAACATATGTAAACATAATGTGGATGCGTGGTTAACAACCAGAATCATTTGAATCTCTAACCTTTACATTATGACCTCTTACCATTTACATTAGAATCTCTAACCTTTACATTATAATCTCTAACCTTTACATTAGAATCTCTAACCTTTACATTATAATCTCTAACCTTTACATTATAATCTCTAACCTTTACATTATAATCTCTAATCTTTACATTATAATCTCTAACCTTTACATTATAATCTCTAACCTTTACATTATGATCTCAAACCTTTACATTATAATCTCTAACCTTTACATTATAATATCTAACCTTTACATTAGAATCTCTAACCTTTACATTATAATCTCTAACCTTTACATTATAATCTCTAACCTTTACATTATAATATCTAACCTTTACATTATAATATCTAACCTTTACATTAGAATCTCTACCTTTACATTATAATCTCTAACCTTTACATTATAATCTCTAACCTTTACATTATAATCTCTAACCTTTACATTAGAATCTCTAACCTTTACATTATAATCTCTAACCTTTACATTAGAATCTCTTACCTTTACATTATAATCTCTAACCTTTACATTATAATCTCTAACCTTTACATTATAATCTCTAACCTTTACATTATAATATCTAACCTTTACATTAGAATCTCTAACCTTTACATTATAATCTCTAACCTTTACATTATAATATCTAACCTTTACATTATAATCTCTAACCTTTACATTATGATCTCAAACCTTTACATTATAATCTCTAACCTTTACATTATAATATCTAACCTTTACATTATAATCTCTAACCTTTACATTATGATCTCAAACCTTTACATTATAATCTCTAACCTTTACATTATAATATCTAACCTTTACATTAGAATCTCTAACCTTTACATTATAATCTCTAACCTTTACATTATAATCTCTAACCTTTACATTATAATATCTAACCTTTACATTATAATCTCTAACCTTTACATTATGATCTCAAACCTTTACATTATAATCTCTAACCTTTACATTATAATATCTAACCTTTACATTATAATCTCTAACCTTTACATTATGATCTCAAACCTTTACATTATAATCTCTAACCTTTACATTATAATATCTAACCTTTACATTAGAATCTCTAACCTTTACATTATAATCTCTAACCTTTACATTATAATCTCTAACCTTTACATTATAATATCTAACCTTTACATTATAATATCTAACCTTTACATTAGAATCTCTAACCTTTACATTATAATCTCTAACCTTTACATTATAATCTCTAACCTTTACATTAGAATCTCTAACCTTTACATTATAATATCTAACCTTTACATTATAATATCTAACCTTTACATTATAATCTCTAACCTTTACATTATAATATCTAACCTTTACATTATAATATCTAACCTTTACATTAGAATCTCTAACCTTTACATTAGAATATCTAACCTTTACATTATAATCTCTAACCTTTACATTATAATATCTAACCTTTACATTAGAATCTCTAACCTTTACATTAGAATATCTAACCTTTACATTATAATCTCTAACCTTTACATTATAATCTCTAACCTTTACATTATAATCTCTAACCTTTACATTATAATCTCAAACCTTTACATTTTTACTTGCATATCGGTAACATTAGCGTTTGTTAATGCCATCGGGGAGTGCTATGTGTTGCTATTTCATTGATTGGCTATGCGGTATCGTTATCTAAATTGATATCAACAACTTCGAGAGGGATTCCCTGAATACATTCAGCCCTAAAACTAGCATTGGAAATCGACTGTGAATATCGGAATAACATAGAAACGTAATTGGAAGTGTGTCCATATGTCCGGGATACGGGTATTACGGATAATACCGATGATTTATCATTCCGAATATTGCAAGCATAGTTTACGGAAAACTAAATTATTCCTATAGATGACAAATAATAATATGTTCGTCTCGTGCTGAAGTATTATTCTCATCACGAGATCTGAGTGGCTGATATATAGGGAAAACCGAATGACGCACTTGTAACAGGATGTCACTTAAGTGGTTCTCTCCGACCATCACTTATGTCAATAGTGATTATACATGGAGGCATTTAGTACCACATACAATATATATATACGTAATTAGTGAATGGATGTATAAGGAAACATCAATAGGTTTTACGGGAATAAAATATTCAAAATTTTGCCAACGTCTTAGATACAATTCTGGATAGTACTTATCATTCTGGAAAATAAATAATACCTAAAAAATGAAATGGGTTCAATGGTTATTTGCATGAGGTGTATGTGACTGTCGGTTTGTTAAATTGGATAATTAAAAGATAATTAATCTTTATAGAAAAAGCAATTGAATTCTTTTACATAAAATGGTAATAATTCAATTGCATTGGTTTTGAAGAACAAAGTCCATGGAATTAATTAAAATGATTTTAGTTTAGATGCCACCCGGTTGCCTTATACTGACAACCCGTCTTTATTGTCAAAGGGTTGTTAGCAAATATGTTTTATCTGTCTGTATGAGCATGCTATGTTTTCGTCGGACAAAATCTCTAACCCAACTGGAATAACATACCACGTCCGGTGGTAACATTTCAGTGTGATAACACTATAACATGTCAGTGTAGTTCTCCCATTATGAGATTTTTCGAAGTGCTGTATGACAATTACAGCTAGTATTGAAATGTGCAATGGCGGAAAAATCGATACAAAGTCTTTGTGTGTAGCCTTGAATGTTTCAAAGTATGTCAATATTTAACGAATGAACATATATATTTGAAATAGTAACTAAAGAATTATTTTTACATACAGTTCAGGAACAAAGTTCAAGATGTTTTGCGTCAAGAGCATGATGATAGATTCCTTCTCCGGTGGCTTAAAGGTAAGTATGACGCTGGTTCAGAAGTAAGCCACGACCCCGAAATAAATGATAACTCGACCGAAAGGTAATTATAAGTCTTGGCAACGATCAGAAAATTTCAGTTGAAATTATTACAACTTATTGGAATGCTTAATCAGAAATACATTTGTTTTGAAGTCTTCATAGAAAAAAAGAAATCCAAGTCCAAGGGTTATCAAAAGAGGGTCATCAAATAAGAGACATATACAAACTTTCATAAACATGTTCATGAAAATTGATTTAAAAGAGAATTAATGTGTTCTTTTTAACAGCTAGAAAATTTGACCTGAACAAATCCGAGGAGATGCTAAGAAATGTAAGTACACGGCAAATAAGTAGGTCAGAAGGCTTTATATGTATTTATATCAGTTAAGGAAGAATATATATATTTGATGTTTGATTTTATATCTGTGTATTACCGATAGAATTCATAGTATAACATGTTTCAAATTATTCAAAGAAAGAACTATGTTATAGTCTGGAACCATGGATAATTCCCTACCCAAATTTTCCACATACATTCTCGCAGATACGCATGTCGTTCTGATGGATCTTTTCCATTGTAGAGTTTGTCGTGGCGAGAAAAGAATAATGTCGACACGATTCTAGATGATTTTGAGTCGCCAGATGTCCTGAAGAAGTACTTTACAGGAGGAACTAGTGGTTTCGACAAAGAGGGATGCCCTATATGGGTGGACCCGTTAGGTAGATTGGATTTCAAAGGTGCGTTTTGTTTTGTTTTTTTGACCCAGAATCAGCAAAATATGAAGTGAAAGACATTTCGGTAGCCGTAGAAGATAACGTCAAATCTTTGGTACAATTATTTAATTGTAGAAGAAAATGATGACGTCACATTTGAATTTTTTTATGTATCTGTCGGCATTAAGAATCCCACATATTGCGTGTTTTACTTTTTTACAATATGGATATACTGTTGTTGGAACTTGATCAAGCTTCTTCCTCCACCAACTGAATTGTACCTTTTTCTAGGCGTATTCTTTCTACCCTAATATGTTGAGAACATATGCATGTTGATATCCAACGGTAGTTGTGATATGTAAGAGAATGGATAATCATATAGTAGCGTATTAATATTTTCCTGATTTTGAAATCGTCAAATGTAAGTAAGTAATTATCTATTTTGGGCTTATTAAGTTTGAAAGTGTCGTTGTGACGTTTTGATTCCTTTTCGTTCATATCACAATGTTCACCCCCAAGTCAAAATGTCAATAGCTCACTCAAATGAATATGGAACGCGAATCACTTGTATATTATATTTAAATTCTAATACTTAATTCTACAATAAACACCCCTGTTGATTGATTCCAAGTTAATTCCTGAGAACATTTGAGAGACGTTTTTAGAAGTTTTTTTAGTTTATTTTTATTTTTGTTTTTTACTTTTTTTTTGCTCTTTGGAATTGAGAAGTAGCGATTTTGATATAAAATACTTTAATCACCCCAGTCGCCCTTACTTCTCCAACGATCGCTTCATTTTTCGCATGTGCACGAATTAGAACTTTCCCCTTTCAGGGCTATGTGCATGTGCAAGAAAAATAGATCTGATAAAACACAAAGTTTATCGACTAGAATTGTTCAGCAGAATTATGAAGGAACAGTCCAGAAAGGTATGTGAAACACATGGTAACAAACTTGTTTCCTCATCTTTTATTTTACATAGTAGAAAATAATGGTGTGGTCTTTGTACTTGTAATTACACAAATTATATTTTAAACAAGTTTATACCACGGATAAAATTGCAATCTGAGTGTATTTGTGAACAGTATTGCAATACATTCGTGTATTTAGTGCGTGGTGATTACTCTGCTGCCATCAACAGGTTTGGTGAAAAAATGGCCTCCTGTATCCCTGGTCGTGTGGGACTATAGCTTGTCAACATTTGGGTCATCTGTCTTGTCTTCATCTCCTCAATTTGCGAAGGTCACACTAATGACCTCTCTATATTTGGAGTTATCCTATATTTAACAATTCAGTATTGGGCGTCCTTATTGTATAAGGCAGTGTGATTAATTCCTTCTTCATAAGCCTCAACATCTCAGTCGTCAGCGCATCGGACTATGAATCCTGGAGATTCAAAGTATCTGGTTCGATCCTTACTCAGGACGTTTTGTACAGTATATAAAGCTGAGAAAACTAACCGTCCTGTACTGATATGATTGTGTCCTTGGACAAGGCTCTGACTGACACAAGTGTCCCTAGTGTTGTTCATTGAGGTAGCTGCGTTTTTATTTTATACAGGTAGATCCTTCATGAAAATGGCACCATCTTTTCACGTGGCGAATAAAACAACAAGCACACCATACAAATACAGGGTCTAATTTTCCTACAATACAGTGTTATATTGACAGGGCTACAATACAGTGTTATCCTTACAGGGTTACAATACAGTGTTATCCTTACAGGGTTACAATACGTTGTTATACATTCCTACAATACAGTGTTATACTTACAGGGTTACAATACAGTGTTATCCTTACAGGGCTACAATACAGTGTTATCCTTACAGGGTTACAATACAGTGTCATACTTACAGGGCTACAATACAGTGTTATACTTACAGGGTTACAATACAGTGTTATACTTACAGGGTTACAATACAGTGTTATACTTCCAGGGTTACAATACAGTGTTATACTTACAGGGTTACAATACAGTGTTATACTTACAGGGTTACAATACAGTGTTATATTGACAGGGTTACAATACAGTGTTATACTTACAGGGCTACAATACAGTGTTATACTTCCAGGGTTACAATACAGTGTTATACTTACAGGTTTACAATACAGTGTTATACTTACAGGGTTACAATACAGTGTTATACTTACAGGGCTACAATACAGTGTTATATTGACAGGGCTACAATACAGTGTTATCCTTACAGGGTTACAATACAGTGTTATACTTACAGGGCTACAATACAGTGTTATATTGACAGGGCTACAATACAGTGTTATCCTTACAGGGTTACAATAAAGTGTTATCCTTACAGGGCTACAATACAGTGTTATACTTACAGGGTTACAATACAGTGTTATCCTTACAGGGTTACAATACAGTGTTATACATTCCTACTATATAGTGTTATCCTTACAGGCTTAATGGCATCAGCCAACCAAAAAGACATGCTACTCCACAAGTTGTGTGACCTGGAACGATTCTCAAAGGTCATGGTGGAGCAATCACACAAGGTGGGCTATACATTACATGTCAGTATGCTATGTAATGGTATGACCAGGCATTGGAATATGCATTTGAATGCAATATATGCATATTGTGCAGCAGTTAGTAACATCTGCATTCAAATCATTATCGAAAATCTTTGTACGCCAAATATTACTTGTCTCTTTCGTGTTACTTTCTGTTTTACGAGTTGATGATGCCGGTAAGTTTCGTTGCATGATGGCCTAGTGTTGTATTCAGTTTTCTCGATATCAATGTGTTAAGAGCATCGTTTGCGTCATGCAATATTACAGGTTTTTGTTTACATAGCTTTGCTGTGTTTTTGTCATATTGTGTTGCTCAATGTTACTATAAGGAAATTCATCACCAGTTTAACAGCATGTAGTTAAAGTACTTCGACAATCATACACAAGAATTAAATGATCAATTTCTGTATGTTTTGATGTGATGTTTGAACGCAACGTGATTAAACATTTAGTGTCGATAAGATAAAGCATGCACACACCCTATTTATGTATATTTGGATGTATAATTTTACGCTCCCTTGATAGTAGCATCATGATTCATGTTGCTATGATATGCTGTGAGATGATGCACGACCACTTATCTGTTATAAGTGTATGTAACTTCTGAATCTCTATCCAAGTAATAGCCTGGTAGTTTGTTTAATTGCACTGCTCATCGTAACATAGAAGTACAGAGTTTTAAAGCCCTGTTCTTAAAAACATTTCTTCAGTAAGAACATTGGATATATTTCATTGTCTTCAATTACCAAACCTCATTTTAAACTGAAGGCACGCCGTAGTTTTCTTTTTAGACCATTATCCTATATGTATGACTATATTAAAGATACACCGTTTTCATTTCTGCACTAATGTAATTACATGACACCATCACTACACACGTACAGGGGTAGATTCTGTTACAGTATATTACCTTGTTAATTAATATACATTGTATTACGATTTTGTTTACATGTCAATCCTAAAATTCAAATATACTTACACTCATTAAATAAAAAAACATTTTTTCAATATGTTGAAAATGATAAAATACGCGGTATCATAATTTCCGATTCATGTACTCATCAATGTTTTCTTTTGTAGTTAGGAAAGGTGATAGACAAGGAGACTATAATATACGATATGGAAAAGGTTGGGATGCGTCATCTGTGGAAACCCGGAATTGACACATTTAACCAGTTTGTCACCCTTGTGGAAGATAACTACCCTGAGAGACTGAAGTTTATCTTTATTATCAATGGTAAAACGCTATGATTACAATATCAGTGTCGCTTCAGAGTTCTTTTTAAGCATTTGCGATCACAAATAATTTGAGATAGAATTGTTCGTGTTGCTTTGAGTTATCTCCCTTCGCGAGGTATTCATCGTTTTCTTTATAGCAGTGATAAGTCCAGATTAGTGTATGAGAGGAATCTACCTGTTCGTTGTATTTTGGTTATAATATAGCTTAACCTGGCGGTACCGTCTGTTGGAATTGTTTTAATCTACATATGTGATGATGATTGAAATCGTTAATTGTGATTCTGCATTTAGCTCCAAAGATTTTCCCTGTGATCTGGAAACTGGTGCGACCTTTTGTGGCGGAGGAAACCAGAAAGAAAATTAAAGTTTTTGGTACAAGTATGTAAATTTTTAACAAAATGTATTTGAATATTTTAAGCACAACGGTTGTTAAGTGCATGGTAATGAATCCAAAATGCGTGTATTTTATTTTGTTATATCATTTTGGGTTTTTACAGCGAATTACAAAGATACTTTGCTGGAATACATCGATGCAGACCAGTTACCGGCTGCCTATGGTGGTACGCTAGTGGACAAAAGTGGAGATCCCAGATGTGGTGAAATGGTAGGTTTTTGGTATGGCGGGGTGATTTCTGTCTATGGAAGAAATGTCACTAGTTACGTAGATATCAACTGGTTCTCCAGAACAGAAAGTGTCTTACCATTGTTTACTGTCTTTTGTAAATGAATATACATATTTTTTCAGTTCCAAGTTCGCCGACATACAATGTGTAACCTATAAAAAAGAGAAATGTTCAATACATTTTCCAAAGATCGTTCGTTTTTAATCTTGATAAATTTACTGGTACTAAGTATTCCTTAGAAATGACGTCTGGATTAATCCTATTGTGACTGTTAATCATGTTGATGATATATGATATAGACTCTGTATTTAGGTATAGCATTTATTGTTTGTTAGACACATATTGCTTCAAAAAATACATAAATAGCAAATCCTGAATAGTTAATGTTGGGTAATAGATCAATGATTGTTTATACACATAAAACTAGATTGTCCAGGGAGGCGAAGTACCGAAAGAACTTTATGCCAACGCTAACAGCCTGGACAGAGACAAATTTACGTCTGTGACAGTAATGCGATTACAGATTATAAAAGATTACAAAATGTGACAACGATTACAGATTATAAAATGTGACGATTACTGGATATAAAATGTGACACTCTACCGATTACAGATTATAAAAGTGTACGACAGGTGGGTAAGATGACCGATTACAGATTATAAAATGTGACATTGATTACAGATTATAAAATGTGACATTGATTACAGATTATAAAATGTGACAACGACTACAGATTATAAAATGTGACAACGATTACAGATTATAAAATGTGACAAGATCACAGATTATAAAATGTGACAACGATTACAGATTATAAAATGTGACTACAGATTACAAAATGTGACAACGATTACAGATTATAAAATGTGACAACGATTACAGATTATAAAATGTGACGACGATTACAGATTATAAAATGTGACAACGATTACAGATTATAAAATGTGACAACGATTACAGATTATAAAATGTGACAACGATTACAGATTATAAAATGTGACGACGATTACAGATTATAAAATGTGACGATTACGATTACATTACAGATTATAAAATGTGACAACGATTACAGATTATAAAATGTGACTACAGATTACAAAATGAGACAAAGATTACAGATTATAAAATGATTATAAAATGTAACATCGATTACAGATTATAAAATGTGACAACGATTACAGATTATAAAATGTAACAACGATTACAGATTATAAAATGTGACATCGATTACAGATTATAAAATGTGACAACGATTACAGATTATAAAATGTGACATTGATTACAGATTATAAAATGTAACAACATTACAGATTATAAAATGTAACAGATTATAAAATGTGACAGATTATAAAATGTGACAACGATTACAGATTATAAAATGTGACAACGATTACAGATTATAAAATGTGACATTGATTACAGATTATAAAATGTAACAACGATTACAGATTATAAAATGTGACAACGTTTTCAGTTAGTCAATTTCCTTTTCTTTTTACTCTGTCCTGACCTTTTAACCGTTTTTCCGTGGTGCTTCCTTAGACACGTGTCTTCTAACAACATTTTATGAATGGTAAACTTCACACGAAAATATGTTATAGCTGGCAGTTCTTTACGGAGGGCTACGATATTGGCTTCGCGGTCTACAAGCGGATAGAAGATGGATTGAGGAAAGGCAATCTGGAGGAGATTATTCCGACAGAGAGAGTAACTAGTCATATCTATCCTGGAGATGGAAGTGTCGTGTGCAAAACTGTCGGCACATGTAAGCTACAATAATTATTGATCTGATAATTATTTTGCATCTTATTTTAAGACACGCAAAGTTTATTTATTTAATTCATTTCAAACAAATACGTATTTACGATACTGTGCTAATTACACTTGGGTGGTGTTCATTTTATGCCTTTAAAGAACAACTATTATGTAAGATCTAGGCCGTTGTAAGTCAAGTTTACATCACGTGCTTTAGTTTCTTGATAATCTTGTTTACGGAAGATGACCTTTAGAAATCAATTCGTAAGCGTCTCGTCCGAAACTCATATATGAAGCTTTATTTTCCCTGGCGTCACTGTGTCAGGACATTTTCTGTTTTATTGTTTATCTTGTTTTCAAATTAAATTATAGGAATGTGTTATCATATTTTTTATTTAGGTGTATAAAAAGGGTTCTTCATATATTTACAGATGTTATAAGATTTGACAACACATACAGCTGGACTCGTAGTAAGAAGATCCTCTACTCTGTTGACGTCATGGTACCAGATAGTATGGATGGTTTTAGCAACGTCGACATATTCACGAGTTAAATGGGACGTGACTTCAGCAACGTCGAAATTTTCACCAGTTAATTAACACGTGATTCAGTAACACCGATTTATAACCAGTAACCAGTTCTTGATCACGTGATTTCGACAACATCGAAGCATTCGCCAGCTTATTGATACAGGACATCTGCAGTGTCGAAACATTGACTATGATTACATTTTGAACTGAATGTTCAAATACATGTATTATATTAGACGGTAACCGTCAACCCTTTTACGTTAAACATCTTTGAAATGACATCAGATTATCGCCGCAAATATTACCTGACCGATTTGAAGGATGAAGCATTTCTTTTCGAATTTGTTGAATACGTTGTATCAACGCCATGAAATGCACATGTGTGCGTTTTTGGCAATCTTTGTTTTCTGTGCTGTAGAACAACAAATGTAGTGAGGAAAGTGAGGTTAGATTCTGCTATACTGCAACCTATTTTGTACTTTTATATCATTGTCGTCTGTAGTTTATTAAAGATTTTGCTTCGTCCTTTCTATAGAAGTTTATTTTGTATAAATTGTGTTATAAAACACACGTACATGTATCGGAAATGTGGCTGATCAGGAAAGTGAATGGAGATTAAACCGACATTCTTCTGAGTTTTTTTTTATAAAAAATTGTGCTTGGAAAATTAGAAATATTAGAAGCCAAAATAAATAAATATACATGGAGAAACACCACGTTATATAGATATTATGTGTTCAGCTTACATACAACGATATTGTGATAAAACAAAGTCGGACAACTGGTCATATCTATACTGTACGTGTGTAGTGTCGACAGTATGTAAATTTGATGTATTGTCCCTATGTGTATCGAATGAGCACGCTGGACAATTCTTTAAATGTGGCATATCATTTACTCTGTGGTCATAAATCATTGTTTTACTGACTCGACGACGCAGTAGGAATTACTATAGGTAAATGCTTCCCATACACGATGTCGCAAACAGACGCTTAGCACTTCACCAAAAGAATTTGACTAATTGAACGGTAAAAAATTAAAGACTGTTTAAAAACTGAATTCAGATTCAAAGTTGAAGACATAGGGACAAAATCTTATTAAAGAAAGTAAAAGTAGAATAAGACCACGTGTTCTGGACCGTTAAAATTTTAAATCCTGGTCAGTAATGTCGTATTCTGGGTCACACACAAGACCTCCGTTAACAACAAACGAAGGTCGAACATTTTATCACAAATGGAAATAAAATAATTCCCTAATAAAATCATGTATGTGTCCATAAAACTTTCTCGTAGCCTTCATCAACCTGCATTTCTCGAAAACTAGAAAAATTATAACCTATCAGATCCGCTACCACATGAGATACTCTAACGCTTTCAACGTTACTACCTAGAAATGGAAAATTCATTATAGGGAAATTGAAATCGTTACGCTTATCAAATGGGGGAGAGCTGTTCCTGTTGTTTCGTTGTAGAAAAAAGATGGAGGCAATAAGAGACTTGTCGGCATCGTTAGTCTGCAGTTAAAAGATTAATTACGAACCTGTAATATGAACAATCTAGTGTCTACGAATCCGATGTGTTTTAACAAAAACTAAATTAATAGATATGAAAAAACTCCGGACAAACAGAAATTTTCGGTTAATTTCATTATAGTTTCGATCTTGTCTACCTTATGTGTTTTAAAGTCTTGTTAACTAGATAAATAAAAAATGCCCGCCAACTTCGCCGAATTCTAACGAACACTCGTATGTGTAATTAATCTGAGGAGACGTGCGTTATGACGTCTGATGCAAGAGCATGACGATATGTCATGTGTGACGGAATAAACATTCTCGGGCAGGGTAAAGAATAGATATAATGGTTGTATCTGTTTATCAATTCATCATTGCTTTTTATTCATTTAATAGATTTTTATGAAATCTTTAATAGTGATGGATGTTCGTGATGCATGATGATTCGGATAAACAAATCCAGTCTATACTTACATCAGACAACGAACCGGTCCTGTTTCATGTGCATTCGTTAATTAGATATGTATGAATTCAAACATCAACTTTGCTTCATTTCGAATCAATTCTGTTCTTCATGTACGACGGGAAATGCATTGGATTTACCGCGAATGTGTAGACCAATATCATACTCCTACAGTTTTAGTATGGTATTTAACTGGTTCACGCCCTCATAACTGCTAGTGATATGAGAAGATAGTGTCTGTGGATAACGGTGTAACATACAACAGCTATTTAAAAGTTGTAATACAATAATGTCAAATAATATGAACAAGTTAGCCGACACCCATCTGATCACCGTAATTGTCAACAGACATTACCAATGTTACAGAACATTGGTCAGGAAATAGAGTGCACCATCTTCCTGTGAGAATCACAATCTTAGGTGAATGTTCAACACAAAAAGAAAACAATTACAGTTGTTAACTATAGAAAATCGAATGCCAATTAATATTTGTTATCTACCTTAGTTCGAAAGTTTGTCATTTATTGAACATAAAACATCCATAAGTGGAAACATAAGAAAATATGAAAAATCCTAAATTTTTTAACTTTAAATGTTTTACTTTTTTGCATATCGCTCATGTAATCAAAGTTTGGAACATCATTTTTGTGATTTATTAATACCATGGTGAGTGCATTGTTATTTTTACGTAATACATCGATCGTAGGGTTGATACTTGAATTACGGTGCTATATGGTTTTGATGATTAAGCACAAGGAATTGTTCTTGTTTACTGGTGGAAAATTATAATAAAGTTACTTCAATTGAAACTTGTCCTTGCGCGCTTCCATCCCAACCAACCAAAACGATATGACTGAAATAATATAAATAGTTGTAAAATAAATAAAGCTTATGTTATAAAGAAATATCATTAATGCTTCATCAACGACACCCACCAAATTTATCCCAGCGAGTAATGTCGCGTTCTCAAACGAGAAGTGAGTAAACAACAGTGGATTCACCAGGCATACTAACGAGTATTAAACGTCCAACTCCATCTCGCATAAGGGAAGAGAACATTTGCCAAATAATTTCTTATAACGACCGCAAACTTTCCCCATAATGTGTATCACCCATTTAATCAACACTAAGGGCCCAATGACTGATCTGTTGTGTTTGTTGTATGGTCTATTACAGCCCTGTAATAGATCTACTGTCTCTGGTCAGTTGTGTTTTCAGTACACTGTTTAATAAACATGTTCTAAAAGTCGATTAACTACCATTTAACACTTGATACAAATAAGCAGGATTGACTCGGTCGCTCTACATGATTGCAATTTTGCTGTAAAAATATGTAGAAAAATATTTTACGCCCGCCATATCACTATAATGTATGTTGATATTAGACATATCTTACGATAATTCATCGATTCTCATTGAATAAGCTGTTCCGTTAGTCTATAAATGTTACAACAATCATCTTCAATCTAGTAAGATAAACGATAAACATGTGGAGTTAATGTTACTGACGCTGGTGATCATAATTAATCAATATCGCCTTCTTAATTCATTACAATATCTACTATAGGCATGATCCGATGTGGTCTAGTGGTTAGGATTTCTGGTTTTCACCCAGACGGCCCGGGTTCAATTCCCGGCATCGGAAAATCATTTTTTAATCCTAATGAAAGAGGTCGCTCTTACGTTTGGGGTTCATGGCAAAAAAATATAAAATATGTAAGTAATCCAAATGCTGATAGTAAGAGAGTACGTCTGTAACATTTAATACTTTCGAATTTCTATCATAATGACACATTTTCAGACCGATATTTTGCCGTCTTCATTACAATGTGACTGAGTGTGGTGGCCTGATTGGTGACTTTTCTGCCACTGTACTTAAATGTGGAAATACTTTAAAGTTGCCATCAGTTCTGTCGTTTAAACAAATACGCTCACTTCACGTAAAGGAATGAACATAGAAACTGACAGGACATTCAGTTTTACAAAACCAAGCTACCGCCTACTGTTGTACACTGATAGGCTGCGATTATTATCCGTTCGTAATCCACAATATTGGGAAATTGTGAGACATTTGGGCAGAAAGTACACTGCAATTTCAAACTCCTCATCAGCAATAATAGGGGCAGATTTTCAAACGAGAATGACATTGTAGTAACATCTCTAGTAGGAAACTTATGGTCATATCAGATATGGTACATTGATGAGAAAAAAGTGGCTTTTGGTGAGCAAATTTCCTTGGAGTGAATCGAATGTTTTGAAGAGTGTTATACAGATAGAGAAATAATTATCATTGGGCTTTGTTTTAGGGAATGCATATCTGAGTCATATCATTAGTGTATGTGTAACATGAAAAATTCGTAATTTTAGATATTTGCTAATGCATGAAAATTTCATAGTTCAATGGGTGTATGTCCCAGTGAAGAGAACTGTGGGTCTTTATTTAAAGTAGGGTATCTGTGTAAATAGGTCTACAGCAGAATTTATTTTAATGTGAGTGTTGAACAGTTATGTGTCATTGTATTTCAGTGGATGATCCGACAGATGTGGAGTCATAAACTTAATTCATGTGGTGATTTAGTATGTCTTTGTTTACGATTTATTGTCTTCCAAAAAGCTATGATAATATAAAAGTGAGAGTCGAAGTGACGTCACCAAACAGTCGACAATGACACCCTCTACGCGTGCCAGTTTCTGTTTCTTAAGAAGCTGAGAAAGGGGACGGTCTTCGCTGACATGGCTGTGTCCTTGTACGTGACAACTTTACCCTTATTACTGTGGATGGCATGCGTAGACCTCTTGTATGTTGTTCACTGAGGTAGCCACCAGCTACTGCAAAGAGACACCGCCTCAAAATAACTCTGGACATTCACAGGCCAATAAACCCAGTAAACAACAACAACAAACACATTTCTTGAGGATACCGCTCTCCAGTCATGCCTTAAGTTATACGGGTGGCTATCGGTCAGGTATGTATGTTACCAGTGCAGCGGTTATAGATAGAAGGTTATTGACTGGTTGATAAACAAGTCAGTTGATGTGTAATTTGTAGAACCCAGTGTACATCTACTGTCATAGTCAACAAGACAGATAATGCTATATCAATGCACGTGACCAAACGGTGACAAAACTCGGTTGAAAACCTCCTCTAAAACACAAGTCATTGGTACATCACCTTACAGAGACGATAATTGTTCACAAATCTGATTGTCCATGGTAATAGAAACGTTTTTGTTTCGCGCACGTGCTACAGTGGAGGTCAATTGTCTAGACAGTTTTTACCTGTGACTATTTTCTGCAAGTTAACAACATTTCATGATCATTCATTAATCACCTGGTGGAGCTAATGACTGTCCAAACAAACAAATAGTTAAACATTGACGAATCTTAACCACGATAAAACATACATTGTGGTTATATCATTTGGCGTATAAATCTGATTGTTTCGTTATGTAATGCTTTCTGAATGCCCCTCGGCACAAAATAGTCTGTAACACTGGCGCCCATGTAGGGACTGCACACAGATAGTTGTAAACTATAACCTCCGTATGGAAAGGTTTGCATACGTTATATTCACAGGTGATATTCTTTAACACAAATTATATTCACAAAGGCATGCTTTATATTCTGCAAAGTTAATTTCATATTATTTAATACATTCATATGATCATGGTTCTACGCTACAAAACTAATTATATTCTCACGAGCAAAGTTATTCTCTACAAAACGAATTAAAGTTACAAGCGTATAGTTTTACTCCAGAATACGATTTCTATTCGCGAAGACGTGTTTATATTCTACAGAACGAATTGTTTTCACATGGGCATGTTTATATTCTACATAACGAATGGTATTCGCAGGGGCATGTTTATATTCTAACGAACGAATTGTGTTTACATGGGCCTGGTTATATTCCACAGACTAATTATATTCACAGGGGCATGTTTATATTCTACAGAACAAATGTTCTATGTGCACGACTATCATTTTTAACCTAACCTACATTTCTTATCTACTCTGTCCTCTGATACACCTGGGTCATTCTTATTACCTTCGGTGCAATATTGCATCGTAGAGGTGCATGACACAGGTGTATGTCACATTATCTGGAAGCCCAGCCCTCTGAGTCAGTGGATCTTTTTATCTATCAATTCCTGGATATTTTCAATTAGAAAATAGATATATTAGTAATCAATAGTTCACCCAAAAGTCTACACAAAATTAGTTTGGTTTTATATCGGAAATTTATATACAATCCTACTCTAAAATATATTTACCTCTGAATGACAGTTACGAGCGCTGCCAAGTTTTTCGTTTCCTTATGAACAGAGTCCATCATTCTTTGTATAGATTTTTGTTTCACAATCCCAAGTCGCATTTTCCAAATGTCTCCTTTGACATGTAGCTATAGATCCGTTGTTCTAGGAACACATGTCATCGTCTATATTGATATAAAAATCTTTGTACATGATATCTGCGGTTGAATGTCCAATTAGAGAAGTAGTTTGATTGATGTGATAATTACATGTTTGTATGTATAATTTATTGTGACCATCAGTACTGTAGATGTGTTAACTTACAAAACACCATTATCGCCGGAAGTAATGATCCCCCCAAATAATTACACAATGAAAATTATCAGTAATTATATCAGATTACAGACGATAATTACACGGCAATTAGTCGTACGAGTACTAGTGGGTCTGGTGTTATATACAACACAAGTATAAAACAACTACAGTGTTTATAAACCTTTGTTACCAGACTAACAAACAACGGTAAGTCACATTGTGAAGCGGTTTGTCATGACTTTATATTGTCAGGTTTGTGAGAATTGACTTTATAATGTCAGGTTTGTGAGAATAGACTTTATAATCCCAGGTTCGTGAGAATTGACTTTATATTGTCAGGTTTGTGAGAATTGACTTTATATTGTCAGGTTTGTGAGAATAGACTTTATAATCCCAGGTTCGTGAGAATTGACTTTATATTGTCAGGTTTGTGAGAATTGTCTTTATATTGCCAGGTTTGTGAGAATTGACTTTGAATTGCCAGGTTTGTGAGAATTGACTTTATATTGCCAGGTTTGTGAGAATTGTCTTTATATTGCCAGGTTTGTGAGAATTGACTTTATATTGTCAGGTTAGTGAGAATTGGCTTGATATTGCCAGGTTGGTGCGTTTTATAGAGCTAAAGTTAAATAAGACCTAGAATTAACATGACTGTGTGTTATATTTGATAAATTAAAGTCGAGAGATAGTTGCAAATCAATATTGAAGACCCCATTGATTTGACTATATCCAATTTTTCTACATAAAAGAAAATGTTCTCTACACTATGATTTTTAAACTGATGCAGTATAAGGTCCACCAGTCAACTAATGAGTTGTATCTGTCTATGGCGGTGTTGCTAAAAAGAAATTCAAATTGTTCTGTTTGAAATACTTATTTCATATCTGGTACGGATGCTAGATTAAGTTCACGTGTTAAGATGAAATTGTATATAAGTAGACATTGTAGTAGAAATGACACATAGAAGTAGGCATTGAAATAGAAATGACACATAGAAGTAGGCATTGAAATAGAAATGATACACATCTGTAAATCAGAGATGACGGAAACACGACAAGTAGTGATTCAGTATATATAGATACATGTGTCGTATGTAAAATACCAAAACTAACATGTTAAATGTCATCTTCATTGTGTGGTTAAATTAACAGAACACCGACACCTGGGCAAAAAACGACAGGGTTTTCATATTGACCCAACACCGGTGTATGGCCTTTTCCGTTTTACCTGCATGACCTTTGACCTCGTCTGTGTTTTCACGGAAGTGGTTTTATATATCAGCACACAGGTAAGGTAAGGAAAGGTACGCTACAAACTGTGAGGACTCTCTTCTCCCCTGCACTACTACTCTCAGGTAAGGTCATCTGCATAAATATATTGATGAAGTAATTGTTCTAATATAATTCTTTTATGTCGTATATGTGCTTAATCAATATTATGCACTTTCGCTACTTTCAGGTGCTATATCTACATATATATATACTATGCATAACTCGTTTACATTTTAAATATTACCTGATTACAGTATCGATCCATGGTTTGTTTGAGTTACAATCGATCAATAACTATCCATGTTAATACCCAGTCAACAGTCACATTGTCAACAACTGACAGCTAGGGTACACGAACTGAAAGGACACGAAATAATCCCACACGTCGTTTCTCGCTGATGAAAGAGCATAGGGACTCGACAATTTACCGTCTACTTACAGGTGAATATGGGCTTACCCTGGTTTGTATCACAAGGACCAGCTAATAACCCACAGGGTATGTGAATATGGGCCAACCTTTGGTCTGTATCACAGGGGATCAGGGAATAGGTTACAGGATATGTGAATAAAGACTTACCCAAGTCTGTATCACAAGGACCTGAGAATTTGTTACAGTCTAGGTGAATGATAGACCTACCCTAGTCTTCTGTTCACGAAATCGTACACATGCTTAGATACACATTTTGTGCTTAGACACAAATCCTTTCAGTGATAGATTAATGATCAGATAGATTTTGGAAAATAAGATATTATTTTCAGTGTTTTCGTTTATCTTTTAAAGTTCGGTTTTGTGATTTACGCGAGTTTACAGAAAGTCGGCTTGAACAAAATTCCATATTTAACCATGAAAATGATTTCATATGAGGAGAGGTTCTTAAATAATAAGCGTCTGCTTCATCGGCCCGCCTGTCAGATAAATTATTAATAGATAAATAATAAATAGGTAAATAATCAATAGATAAATAATTTAAGTAAGTAATGCCACGTTCTCAAATGAGAACCGTGTTTATATATAAACCATCGGCAAGCATATTAACATCCAACACATCTGATTCACACAAGGAAATAGAATGTTCCCCGTAATTTCTAAATGAGATCATAAGGGCGTTCATAAATGATCCCCACAATATCTGTGTTGTTGATTTATCAATTGTCGACCCCTTTCGAGAGAAATCTGATACTGATAACAAGTCTTTAGATATCTTACACATAACACACTGAACCTCTTGAGAGAGAGCATTAGATAGTAACATGTGCTTTACTGTCCTTTTTCTAGCACACTGTCACTGTTTTAAATCTTACGCGACATTAAAAAAACCCACTGCAACTTTAAAGAAAGACGTATGAAATCGAAGTAATAAATATATTTTGCATGTTCCGGCACGTGTTACACGTGACACATATTTACCCTATATACAAGACATGACGAGTTATTATCAGTATCGCTTGTGTTACGTTTGGACAGAGAATAAATATCTTTCTAGATAACGTGGGACACACATATATATAAAGTAGCATTGATTTGCTACTATATTCTGAGACCTACGATAGCTGTGAAGATCATTTCTTACATATACGCAATAATAGTATGTTCACACGCAATGATATTACATTAGAATGGAAATAGATCGTAACTAAATAATGACATTACACTAGAATTGAATATTTCGTAACCGTGCAAAGATATTCCATTCGAACGGAATATTTCGTAACCACGCAATATTTATTGATATCATGTCCGCCACTGTAGAAACCTGACTTTCCGACATTTAGTATAACCCCCATCCCCTCCCCATCGTTCTTACCAGTCAAAAAAAAAAAAAAAAATAGAGTACGTCTTCGGACGGTTTACTGTTCTATGACCTCGGCTTGTATATCTTACAACCGAGGCTTCGATGTCGACCATACATGACTTTCCCCGCCTACGAAAAATGTCTTCCAATACTGAAGTGGATATCAGGATTTATCAAGAGGCTTATCAGTCATAAACCGAAACAAAAAAAAGACTACTAATCTGTTTTGATATGAAATGTTTTCATTTGATACCATGCTAACAGTATACGGAATGACGGCCCTTTGTATGTTGATGTTCGGAGTGAGTCACGTCTGGAACATTGCTCACTATATTCTATCTCATTTCTCTGTAAACTTCCTAGCTCTTCATATATATAATGATGTGTACAATCAATTTTATAACACAATGACTGACAGAAACTACTACACTTTTTTCTGTTAAACCTAGGTCATCCTCTGTGCTGAGCTGACTTTATCTTACGCGTTGTTTGTGAAAGTATCACGTTCACTTCCTGTCATGAAGTTAACTATCATTTTGTGTTTTAGAGTAACTCATTCTCTCACACAACGCCACAAACACATATCATGTCATCAGAAAAAAATTGTTCAAATTTAGTGTTATATTGACGTACAGAAAAAATCCTCTTTTTCTTGCAGGTCACGGGAGTTAGACACAGCACAAAAAACAAAATGGACATCTAGCCGGACGCAAACCTTTCACTTTTGTAAGGATGGACGTTTAAACAAACGATCGGAAAGATGTGAGGAAACTGGATTCTGAAGAGGTAGCAGACAGAGAGTCATCAACAGACAGCAAGAGTGCCAAGTATGAACATCCGGAGATATAAACCAAACGTGGTGACGGCCATTCTCGCCGTAAATATACTAGGACTGCTGATGATCATCCTTGTGAACACACGGTCGCGCTGGCTCAGTCACGCCATGGATGGTTACTACTCACGTGCCAAAACCTTCAGTGATTTAAGTGAATCTGGAGCCTATGATTCGCTGAAGTGGGAGCCTGCCCAAGGTTCCGTGTATGACACCATGTTAGGTACCAGGGAAATGGTAGCTCGCCCACTAGAAGCCGATAAAATGACGAACCTGAATGTTAACCCCTCTAATAAATTAGACATGTCCAAGTATAAGTACAGTGATACGTTGGATTTCATCCTCCCTGTCCCTCGTGTGTCTACAACAGACAGAGTGTACAGGTTAAATAAAACCATCATGCAGAACTATCTGAAATTGAAATCAAGAAAATACACAGATAAAGTGGTGATTCTGACACCCATTCATAACAGCGAAAACAGCCTGATGAACTATGTTCGGGAAATTAACCATTTGTCCTACCCTCATCATCTTATTTCAGTGGTTTTCGGCGAGGACGGTAGCCATGATGGCACCCTCACTGTAGCGCACGAGGTTGCGCAAGACTTGAAAGATTTCGGCTTTAAGAGGACCGACGTTCTCCATTTTAATATTTCAGGACAGGTTGAAGGTGGCTGGGGCGATATACATCATATAACAGTTCAATATAAACGCCGGAAGCACCTTGCGCAGGCGCGGAATCTTTTACTTAAAGGCGGTCTCAAAGACGAAGACTATGTTTTATGGATAGATAGTGATGTAGGAAGCATGCCACCTGACCTCATTCAGCAACTTTTGTATCCTGATAAAGATGTGGTCACACCGCTCTGTCTCTTCTCTTCCGGCGGTGTTGACCGCGTTTACGACAAAAACACTTGGCGGGAAACTGAAGACTCCCTTAGGAACCAAAAGACACTTCAGCCATACGAATTGGTAGTGGAAGGATACAGTACAACTCTAAGGCTGTATCTATCAGATCTTCGGGCCGAAGGGCGAGTTGTGGCTTTGGATGGCGTGGGTGGATGCAGTTTGTTAATAAAAGCCGAATGCCATAGAAAAGGACTTATATTTCCGGAAGAAATTTATGATCATCACATAGAAACGGAAGGCTTATCGAAAATGGCAAAAAACATGTCGTTCGGAGTGTATGGACTTCCGTTTGTGGTAGTGTACCATTCATGATGTTGACAACAACATAGGATGTTTCGGGTTCATTTTTCTTACATTTGAGCTTCCATAGTCAGGGCTGTCTGAACGGGTAGCTAGGCAGATGCACTTTTATCTCTAGAAATTATAAATAATTTACAACGTAAAGAGAGTAACCCCTGAATATCATGCATGATTGATTTGTGAACACTTACCTCTCGGATACATGTATACACATGTACTGAATAATTGTAAAAGTTTAAAGATTATAAATATTGAAATGCAATACATAACTTTATACCGCCTATTGACAGTATTCTACAACACTGACAGCATTTATTGTTTTAGATTCTATGTGATCTTAAGAGCCCACTTTTCCCAAGTTTGTAGAACGTTGTCCTATGTAATAATAGGTAAAACTCCGAGGTGCGTGGTTAGACCCTCGCTACCAATGGCGGTTTGTATATTACATGCGACTAAGAAACGAACCGATCTGAGCTGGTGTGGTTGTGTACTTGGGCTAGACACTTTACCTCTCTCTGGGTGACATGCGACGGTCTTCTGTATGTGGTTCAGTGAGATATTCACCAGATACTACAAGGTGACACTTTTTTTTTCACGAGACGATAAACTCAGCACACAAAAATATAAATGATAGCTGAGATAAAAATCTGGTAATAATTTCCAAACATCATGACAGTAAGAGGAGTAACACGAACTTAATTGACGATCAAAGAAAGTTTTGTGTGCCATATATGTGTGACCATTTGTTATGATATGTACTCGTGATCGTAGTTTGTTTATAAAACTAGGACAACTTGTTTTTAGTGACGTCTCGCATTCCAATGACACCAAGTGTCCGTTTTTACATTCCATCATTTTACCATTATTTTATATTTTATTTCACTTTATTTGTTTAATTAAGTGTTTGCATTTCCGTGCTATCTGTCTATTTTAGGCTGATTTTTTTAATCAAAACTTTACTGAAGTTGAAAAATTTCAGGGTAAAAAGATTTCAACTTTCCTTACATAGCATGCTTGTACTATTCAGTGGCATTGTTTCTTATTTAAGTATTGAGCCAGTAATTGTAGCCAGTTTGAGTTGGATTTTTTTGTCCAGACAAGTGATGTTTGTGACAATTATTCTTGGTGTAAATAAAAGAATATGTAACAAGGGGTATTTTGCAGAATTCGGCCAGAGTTTAATATATTTATATAATAGATATCATTTGATTGTATATATTAGTTACCTGAGAAGACGACCTAATAGTTTCAGTTTTTTTGTTGACAGAAGAGGTGCATAACTGTCGTATTTTAGATATACATGTACTGTGTTTTGATCAGTACACTTTGGTTAATGATCATGTGACCGATGGGGGCTGATACCCGGATTATTTATAACCAGATGTATCAACGAGTTGCCATCGATCCATGTTTAAAGCACGTCCTATTTCTAGTGATTGATCCGTGATGTTTTATATCTGTTGTGATAAAATCAAACTTAATATTTATATTCATGAACAATTCCTAGTTTAATGTCATTGATAATATATTTTTGTACATTGAAAAATCCGACATTCCATTCTATTAAAGTCATCTATTTTCCAAACTCGTTGTTTTATCTTTTTAATGGTTTTTAAAGTGTATAGTTACTGGAAGCTAGCATGATCTTGTGTTAATAGTCTTCTCATACATGTACCCAATTGTTGGTTTGAACGTACTATCAACAGCTGTGGTCATTTAAAGGTAATGGCCTCCCTGTGTATGTGAGCTGATGGGCGGAAGGGTTCTAACGATCAGCTATTTACAACTTTTTGTCTTTGTCACGATCAGTAACCAAGACAAAAAACAAATCAATAAACAGAAAATAAGATAAATAAATAAGTAAACAAAAATCGATATTCAGAACATGCACTCACCGCTACTAGTCCAATAGGTTCGTGTAAACCAACTTGCACGTGAGGAGTTGGAGCCGACAATATAGCGCAATCACGCGGAAGTCAAACACATCACCCAGTCACCTAATACTGACCACAGGCATCCAGTTGTTACACTACTACAATATCGATAGATAACTAAGGAATTCGATTTGGCAACGCTTGTTTAACACTTAGTCATAGATGTGCAAGAGTATGTGCGTCAAAAACTCCAAGACCTCGCAGGAAGTATGTCTACAGTGTTTTTCCAGAACGACCAGGAATTCATTTTACACGATGTAGTGTCTCTTTTCACCAACACACCAAGTGAAAAAGCACTTGCTATCATTCGGAGCAGCCTAGAGCAAGACTGGTCACGATGAAAGAATGTCAATTTCCATACCCAAGATAGATTTACTAGAATTTTGTGCTTACAACATTATTTGTTTTCCGAGATACCATCAATCAGCAATGGTTCGACACAGTCACAGGCAGTCCAGTGTCTCCGATTGTGGTCAACTTGTTCATGGATCACTTGGACAAAGAGGCCATAGCCACGACTCCAGTCTGTGGAAACGATCTGTTGACGATATATTGGAAATAACCAGGAAATAGTCATAGAGTGATTTGACTGAGCACATCAATACCCCTACTTCCGGTCTCACCACCACTTACACCAGACGTTGGACGTTGTACGAACTGGTCAACAGAAACGATTGACACAGAACAAGAAGCATAAACAAAACCACATCCATAGTGCCATGAAAACATGTGGATCCCAGGATTTGGCATTTCAGAAATCAAACAACTAATTAATGAGAGCAAAATGACTAAGAGACAAAACAGCAAGAAAAAGAACGACAGGAAAGGACAGGTAGTGATCCATTACGCCAAGGGCTCTCGATAGGAGAAACGGACAGGAGATTCAGAGTCCGACTTAATGAACATCAGAAAGACGAGGAGTCCCAAAAAGGCAAACAATTCATTGGATGAGAGCGAAAGCATTCCCAGCCCTATATCAATAAATCTTACAGGTCATTCCATACAGCAAAATTATCTACAGTACATTGGAACCATAATGTGTTCTTTTATCTGTTTACCATATTGCCACACTGTTTTCGATTTTAGTGTACATATATGACTATAGTAAATCAAAAACATTGTTCGATTCCTAACAATCTCGTATTTATCTGATGAAGATGACCGTGTGGACATAGACACGTCTCACTCTAATCTTTTACTGGTTGTGTTATAAGAACTTTTAATCTACCCTCAGTAAGTCTTTGGTTAGTGGTTTGACAGGGACTAACCCTCAACAAAGCGCCAAATTCAGACAGTGTTAAGTTGCCTCTAGGGATCCTGCAATTGGAGCAAGTTCCAATGCATGCTGGGAGAGGATTAGGAAACAAGCACCACTGGCCTGAACAACAAAACAATGTTCGCCCGTCCTATGCCAAAGAAACACAATATTTACTATATCGAAATGAATACAGACGTGGAAATCGTAATATCGAGTCGAACACCCAAAGGAAATGCGGCGCTTAATGTTTTCATGATGAAACACAATGTCGTGTTTTAATTATAAATGCATACAAATGTTGAAAGAAAATGGTTTAAAATTAAAGAAGGTTTTGTGTGACAAAATACTAATTAAGTCATATGAGGCAGGAACTGGCCATGTAGTTCAGGAATTATGGTTTGGTTTGTCTCTTCATATTCATCAAAACACACAACATTCATTAACGCGTGTTTGACCAATTTGAGTGTTTTTTTACCCACAGCAGGTATCTCCTGTGAATATTTTATACCTTAATTCGATAGATATTCGTACATATCTATCGTAATTAAGAACTACTGAAATCACACGACCAAATTATCCCGTTTGCAATATATACGCAGCCTCTTTTGTACATTTTTTTGTGAGACTTAGTCCATCAAGTCAGAATTCGGCGATGTGTAAGTTGATGGACACTACTTCATAATGTTGTACCTTTGGTCTCGCTTGTTAAAGCCTAAAACCGTGGCTAGCTAGTCCCCGAGATTTAGCGATGTCGTAAACGTTTTTAAAAGGTAAAAATCTAATCACTCGCTTTGATCATTCATCTATCAAAAATTAAGTAGCTAACAAGTTGTAAAATACAACCGGCTGTCTTAATGTTTTTTGTTGTGGCCCGTTCTCTAGGCCACGTTTCGAGAAAACACGAGAGCAGTAATGTCGTGACAGTAGTTAAGTCTATTTCTGTATTATCAGTGTTGTTCTTCCACCTGTTTTACCTGTGTTGTTCTTCCACCTGTTTTACCCGTTTAGTTCTGCCACCTGTTTTACCTGTTTAAGGTCTGCCACCTGTTTTACCTGTTTAAGGTCTGCCGCCTGTTTTACCTGTTTAGTTCTCCCACCTGTTTTACCTGTGTTGTTCTCCCACCTGTTTTACCTGTGTTGTTCTCCCACCTGTTTTACCTGTGTATCCTCCTACATTACCAGGATTATACTCTAATACATACTGTATATTCACAAATACTTTCATAAAGTCAATTTTGTGTAACTCTAAATTATTTTAACATGTTACTATTTTCATCACCTAGATGACAAAGATGTATATAGTTGTTGTGCCTCGTCCAAGGAAGGAGAGTATTTACTGTCATCACCTTCAAACTTATACCTGACAGTTCACTGTATTTGAAATAACTAAAACAAATATGTCTGTTTTATCAGCTGGCGATTTATTAAGTCAAATGACAATAACATCTAATGCAGAAACAATGTTATCATGTAAACAATATGAAAAATAAATAATTTCACATCTCTTTAAAGACTTTCCACTTACAAACTGATACAAATACTTCACAGTACAGACAATGTCACAGACAAGGGCAAGGACAATGTCAAGGTCATAGACAAGGGCAAGGGGACAATGACAAGGTCAAAGACATGGGTAAGGACAATGTCAAGGACACAGTACTGGGATGGATGGCTTGATGAGGATATAACAGGATGTATTTACGAAGAGAATAAACAGTTTCAAATTATCAACTTCACGCTCTCAACAACAATATCTGTTACACTCAAGGAGATTGATTTGATCACAAATATACTATGGTACTAGTTAATTAACATATAGC